GGCCGACCTGATTAATGTTTGCCTTTGCCCACCATCTTTGGTAGTTTCTCAACCATCACTGGCTTTGACAGGCTGCAGCTAGGGCATCCGCTCTTTGGGAGGCCTTGTAGTGCAGCGTAGTTTCTCCGGTACTGCTTGCGCAGTTGCTTCCTTGGTTTGACAACTGAATTGCAAAATTGCGCGAGGTAGTTCCAGAGACCTTTCCAGAGGCCTTCCAGATGCCCATCATCTACAGTGGGTCATACAGATTTCATTGGGTTGTGCCAGTTTCAAGTGTCTAAGATCGCAGTGGCGCACAGCCCCCATTTCACTCCTGAGCTCTAGTTTGGCCACAGGCTGCTCACACTTCTCTGCTGGTGATTGATTCCCCGGAGGCCCCTCCATGCCCTCCATGTCCATGATTTGTTATGTACTTCCACCCTGTAAAATGAGGCATTGCTGAAGTGCCCCTGGACAAATTTCAATGTTTCCAGTGATAGCTTTTTCCTGATGAAATTGCATAACATTGCTGACAGGATGCTTCAACCTCATCCATGAGGGTGGCTTCATCAGAGGCCTGCATGCCAGCTTCAATGCAGCACGCCCGGATCAATGGGCGTTTTGGTTTTGGCTGTGATCATTTGTAGCATCGTTTGTCAATTATCTCTTGAGCCCTTTGAAACCCAGATCTAGCCCTGACAGAAAACCATGGTTCACTTGCATATTCATATATTTGCTGCTGGCACCTTCATGTTTTCCCCCATCTTATCTTATGTAATTTTCCCCAATCTCGACAATTTCACACGAATGGTTCCAGAAAGCTTAGATAAGAAACTTCTTCGAGGGTAGTATTGAGATAACCCACAAGTTTTAAACCCATTCCAATGGAAAGGGGGTAATTGGCAGAGACCATGGGCTGTTCCATGTTTGGGGTGCTGTCGTCTCCCAAGCTCATGTTGGCAAGTTTTGGCATTCCATCCAAATTCCATGACAGTTTGTCATAAGCAACAGGTTTCCCGGCGTCCAGCAGCACTTCGCCGTGCATCAGCATTTCGCTTTGTGGAGGTGCCCTCACATAATGTTAGTTTAGGGTTGCATCAGGGAGTCCCTGACCAATAGCGTTTCTTTCATGAATACTTGGATTTGCGCCGTTTGTCTTTGTTCAGGCTTCGTGGCATTCAGCTGCACTTCCTTCGGCAGAGGCCCCTTCACTTTGATGTGATTTATTTGAGCCAATGATGATGTATGATGATGTACTGCTCTTATCTTCATATGGGTGCTGTTTACAGGCTGGCAGCGGTACATCAAGGTTGATTTCTGCCTCAGAGGCACTTTCTGATTTTTTGCTTGCAACATCTTTCATTCAATACTTTTCTTGAGACACTGAGCATGCTTCATCTTCAAATGGGCGTCGGTAGACAGAAGAATTACTTTAAACTTTAAACTAACTTCTATGGGTTGAAAGTGCTCACCCATACCCACATGGATTTCTTTGGGTACAAACATCTGCACCAAGCCTGACAATCATTCAGGCAGAGGGCTGGCGAAGGAATTCCTCGGGCAGAGATGATGCAGAACCGCAGTAAGCTTGTCTTTGTACATATATTTGTTGCCAAATGCAATTCATTCCTTTCAGAAGTGTTGTTTGACCAACACAAGTCTTATGAGACGTGCAAAGAAACAGCATAGACAAAGATGAAAAAGATGAAAAAGTCTGTATAGTGTGAGCCCTTCCACTCTGACCAGGAAGTTCTGATTGTCTTGACTAGTCAGCTTGGCTACAATGTCAATGCACAAAGACTTGATTGCCGCCAGCATGGTTCAATTCAGTTTCAAATGAAAATGCTAAGCTTGAAAGAAGCTGTTCGGAAACTTGGGGCCCACGGCTCGAAGCAGAGCAAGAAGACCTCCAGGCGTCACAGTGATCAAACTAGCTGTCATTGGTTGTCATGACTTTACTGAAGGGGTTCCAAGCTGTGACATTCAGTTGTCAAATAAAGCAGCTCACCAATCTTGCAGGTGTCTCAGGGACAAGAAGAAAGTGAAGAAAAACATTGAGAAGAAGAGGCATGACTCTCTCTTGACAAAACAGCAATCAAATCATCATGAACACATGGTGCACTAGTGATTATGGTGCTACTATATGTGTAACATGATTAACATGGACCATTATTCGTTTGCCTTGGCCAGAGGCGATACTTCCCAAAGACCAACATCCCTGCAGCTTCCAGTGACCATCCCAGAAACTTTACGACCTTCAAGGGGACATTCGCTTGGGCATCACTGTTTCTCCGGAAAGCGTCTCTCAAATATGGTACCAAGTTTGTGTGCACGAAGCTACATTCCTGGAAGTGGCAGTTGTCAACATGCTTCTCTGGGGTTGGATGTGCTGAGATGGTGCTGCCCTTACTTCACATGTTTTATCACAATCCATGCAGTTTTGATTGCAATCAGACCCTCTGAGTTTTTAAATGCAATGGCTTGACCATCCTTTCAACACTACCATATGAGCATATGAGCATATGAGTCAATCCATACACTTGGTCCCTTGCCCTGCCCTGAGGCAGCACTGTCTCTACAAACAGCGGCGTGTGTTTTCCTCCACCGACACCAGGAGGCCTCAGCAGTGGATCTCAGGCCCAAGGTGGTGCTGGCCTCAAGTTGCGAGATTGATCTGGAGTGCAGATCTGTGCTCCATTCAACTTTTGTTGGAGACGGTGGCACCCACTGCATTTTTGCTGACATCTTGCACACCAACAGAGCGGACAAGAAAGCCTACTGCGTTTCCCACAACAAGCTGTGTCCGTTGATGCCAGCAAAAGAGCATGATCGACTCTTGGCTCTGCTGATGTTTGGTGTTGAAAACATGCAAAACTTGTGATTAGCTTGGATGGCAACACAGGTGAGCTATGTTGAACTCATGTTTCAGTGTTCAGTGTTTCACTTGCCAAGGACTTGCTGTGAATGTTTCTGGACACAGCCTCAGCTTAAAAATAGATGCTACCAGCTACAGAGGATTCATTATGCAACATCACCAAAACATTGCAGTTGTTGAAATCAGGGTTGTAATCGACTGAGATTGTAGCTCAGGACCTCCATGCGTGAGCTTCAGCATGATGGGAAAGCGCCTGCGAACAGACGCGGCGCAGTTCCAAACACACGAGGCATTGTATGAAAATGTTTCCCCGGGGATGGATATTCAGGTCGTGGAGAATGTACCAGAGTACTCGGAGGATGTGGTGAAGTCCAGGTTTCCTGCGGGCTTTGATATGAAATCGATGAAAATTGACCCTCGTATTCTGGGATTGCCAGCAGCGAGGGCTAGGATCTACTACTTGGCATGGAGAAAATCAAAGCTGCAGTGGGCCAAAGGATTTTCCCTTCAGGAGTTCATGGATTCCATCACATCCCAGGTAGAGCTTGGAGCCTCACACTACTGGTGGATGGATCTCCCTCGCAGCAAATTAACTCGCTCAGAAGACACCTGGCTGCAAGCACAGCCCAAACCATCATGTTCAATTGCAAGAGACACTTCTTTGGATGGTGCCTAGCGTGGTTGTTCCAAAAAAATCAACATGTTGAGGAGCCATCCAGAATCACCCAGTTCCAAAATGAGAAGCTTTATGCATTGAATGGGATGAACAAAAACTGACGGACATAGCTTCCACCGCTTTCACAGGTGAACCGATCGCTGAGTATACCCATGTAAACCTCTGGAATGTCCCGCAGAGGGGTCAGATACCCCAAGCCAAAATACTTGTTGAATACAACCCATAGTACCCAGCCATGTGGAGTGGACAAAAAATCTAAACCCATACCCCCGGTTGAGTTCCAGAACTGTCAGGGAGCTTTATCTTCCAGTATTTAAAAAGGAGAACAGAAATAGAATCCCAGGTGCCCAATGTTGTCCCAGTAATCTTTCTTCCTTATTTTCCATGAGTTTTCCTTCATGTTCCATTCATTGTGCTTCATTTTCCATTGGTTTTCCTTCATTTTCTAATGGTTTTTTCCGCTTCATTTTCCAATAGTTCCTTTCTTTTTCCAATAGTTTTTCTTTCCTTTTTTCATGGTTTTCTTTCACTTTCATTGTGCAAATGGTTTTCAGCCCATTGGTTTTCTCTGTTCTCCATGGTTTTGTGTCATGTTCCATTAGTTTGACCAATCTCAGATCTTCACGATCTTCTGTTAAGATTCCTTCCTTTTCGATGTGCTCCCCTTTATTTTCCCTTGGGTTTCTTCATTTTCCCATGGTTTTCCTTAAGTTTTCTTAAATTTCCATTGGTTTTCTGTCATTTTCCATTAGTTTGACCACTATTCAGATCTTCATGATCTTCTGTTAAGACTCCTGGGTATCAAGGTGAGATGAAGCACAACCCAGCCAAAAGCATTGTTTTCTCGGGTTTCCTTCGTGTTCCATTTGTTTCCCTTCATTTTCCATTGTTTTGCTTCATTTTCCCATATTTATTTCAGTCTCCTTCATTTTCTAATGGTCTTCCTTCATGTTCTGGTAGCTTTCTTTTCCTTAATATTCCATGGGTTGTCCTTTATTTTCCATTGGTTTCCCGTCCCTTCCAAAAAATATTAAACACCGGTGGGAACATCACCTAGGGGACCCTGACCCCCATGATTTTATATTGGAGCAAGCAAGGTGTATATTATGTCTTTAATTGATGTGAAGCCACATTTAGTTGATGTCACTGTCAGGCAGCCAATCTGGCTGACTACCAGGGTCTACGCTACAAAATTCCAGACCTTGCCCAGATGGCTCGCAACGATCGTGGGCGTGGAGAAACGACAGATGGGGCCTTGCCCACTCTCACCACCAATAGTGGAAAACTTTACCACAAGGTGTTTTGGGTTTTGTTTCTTGAAACTGATGAAACTCAACAGTGCCAATACAAAATCAACTTAACCATTTGCTTGCAAAGGCATTGTACAGCATCAATTACCTTCAAGTACCCCTTAGTAATGCATCTTGACCGCCACCGCAGGACTTTCACAGATTTCTTTCGCCACTGGAGATGCTGAACAGCCATTGCATTCCCACCACAGAGGGTCAGGCCAAGAAAGCTGGCGCACCTCGCCTAGTGGTCGACTCGGTGAAGGATCGGAGCCTCATCAAAATGGCTGGCAATGCAATGAGCTTACCCTGTGTTGGGTGTGCCATTTTGGCATGCGTTCTGGGGTTGGAGCCTAGGACCTCCTAATTGCTTGAATTAGGGCAACCACTTTTATGGTTTGTCATTTGAAATTCATGCCACGATGACATGTGCGTGGCCGTGGAATGGCATAGCATTGAGGTGCTGCTGGAGGTGAAAAATTACAACTAGACCGAGTGGGAAATGAATATGTTATGTTGAGTTGGGTCCAACCAGCTGAACATATTCATGTGGATGCCAGCGCTGAGATTCAAACAGCTTCTCTCCATGACCTTGACCATTAGCTCTGTTGCCTGAGTTCAGAATTTTGCGATTGGATGCTTGTGCATAGCTGCACACTCCGGATAGCTTTTGGGGGCTCCAGTTTTTCGTGGGCCCTGGCAAACATGCCAAAGCGATCTCCCTCTGATGCCCTCAAAAATGGAGGAAAGGCTCAGAAGTTGTCACGTCCATGGTGCAAGAAGATCATGCAAGCTGCAGAGTCAGGAACTAAGAAGATGTTGAGGTTCATCACAGTTAATCAAAGTTATATAAGTTATATCGTCCATGCATAGATACATGATGGGAAATGCCACACCGGCAAGACTGAAACCTTCCATCACCCAAAAAGCAACAAAAAATCGTGTACCCAGGTCCTTTGACTTGGAGAAGGATGAGCATCCAGTCCAATGGCTTGAGGAGAATTGGGGGGATGGCTCCATGGCTGCCCCTTTGTCTTGCTGGTTGGACAGCATACTGGAAGATCCCTACTGCTCTGACATTGGCACTCGCTTGATGCCAGCTCCTAGAAATTAATTTGTTGGTAGTTTTCTTCGTGGCTTGCCATTGCCCAAAAACACCCAAACACAGACCCCCCGACCCTCTCTTTCTTTGGGGGAATTCGTTAGAGGGGGAAGCCACCGGGAAAATTGGTAATTAATTCAAATACCCCCAGCATCAAACTAAAACAAACCAATTTTTTTCTCCCAGCTATATTCCATTTTCAAGCGCCCCGCATTTCCCAAAAACTATTTAATATCAAGTATCAGTGCATGCCACCCTGTTGCATCTTTCAGCTAAGGATCAGGCGGACATGCAGGCCCTGGCTGCTAGCTGCTTGCTCCTGGAAGTGGACAAGCCGAGCGAGGGCTGGCCCCTTCTGACTGACTGGCTGCGAACAGCTGGGGATGTGTGGTGTCTGGGCTATGAAGCCCACCGTGCCCCAATCGAGGTCAGACCCTTGGAGAACGTACTAGGCCTTGAAATGAAACCTGCCTCACTGGTTCCAACGAAAGGAGTAGGAAGGGCTACCGTGATCCTGTTCGGGATTTGCTACACCTACTGCAAAATGCGAGACATGGAGGACCCAGAGCTGAAAGACTTCAAGAGGCAGGTGAGTTTTTCAAAAGGTTGCATGTAGGTTACATATAGGCTACATGTAGGTTGCATGTAGGTTACATATAGGCTACATGTAGGTTGCATGTAGGTTACATGTAGGTTGCATGTAAGTTGCATGTAGGTTACATGTAGGTTGCATGTAGGTTACATGTAGGTTGCATGTAGGTTACATGTAGGTTGCATGTAAGTTGCATGTAGGTTACATGTAGGTTGCATGTAGGTTACATGTAGGTTGCATGTAGGTTACATGTAGGTTGCATGTAAGTTGCATGTAGGTTACATGTAGGTTGCATGTAGGTTACATGTAGGTTGCATGTAGGTTGCATGTAGGTTACATATAGGTTACATGTAGGTTGCATGTAGGTTACATGTAGGTTGCATGTAGGTTACATGTATGAGTTGGGTCGCCTTTGTAGCATCTTATTAAGCCATCCTCAGAAGGTGACGGTATGGGTGGGACCGTCGCCTTCAAGACCCTCAAGTACCAGTGGCCAGGGTAGCTTGGGTGATGTAGTTTGGGTGATTTGGGGTGCAAATTGCTTACATATGGTTACTTTTCAAGAAACTATAGCCATTTAGCCTCCCATGTATGTCCCGCAACCCATCTTGAGGGATGGGGAACATGTCAGAACATCAGTAAAAGGACCATGTAAAGGTGATGGTTCCACTGGGACCGTCGCCTTATGTTGATGTTCAATTTGGAGGCACAAAAGGTGACGCAACTGACTCTCCTGGGAAATTTCCTGTGACATCCCTGGAGAACCTAGTTGGGCCCCCCCACAAACCACCTGGCAAATTTAGAGCTGATAAAACTAAAAACCGTCACTTTTCCAACTTCCACAAGGTGATGGTTTGGTCGAAACCGTCGCCTTTGTATGAGATCAGAAACGTCGTCTTTGTATAAGATCAAGACCGTCACCTTTGTTTTCTATCATTTTTTTTGAATCAAACCAATCGACTTCAGTAGCCCCAATCACCATGGTTTCTGAATGTCCCCAGAGTCCTGCAGGTTCTTGATGAGCGTCAAGGTGGTGCAGTACGTCCTCATGCCTGCATGCCCAGCTGCGGTGATCAACTATCGTCGAATTCAGGTGACAGAGCAGCAATCCGAGAAGCAAAAGATGAACCTGCTACAGAAATGCCTCATCTTTACACACAGGGCCACAGAACTGACGTTGGAGGAGGGGACACCTAGCACAGTACCCCAAACATCAGCTTATCACATTGGGGCATAGGGCTTGTTTTCACTGAGTTTTGCTACCACTGATGTCTTCCATTTAACACTGGGCACTGCAGGGGTAAAGATATGTTAAAGATAAATTTCGACAAAACTATACAAAACTGCAACTGATACTTGGAGGACCCTGACCTTGATCTGAGAAGTGCTTGGATGATGGCAGTGGGTGAATTCAACAGCTATGGGGCAGCCAACTTTGCCCAGCGACTGCAGATCGATGATGGCACAGCGTCCCAAATGTATGGGTTCAAGGCCATTGAGTTCCCATGTTCATGTACAGTAGCAGTTTGGGGCAGGGTGAATCCAATTCTTAACACCACTTCCGAGCAAATCAGCAAAGCCAATTCCTTCCATCATCCTCCCAGCCAGGTTGGAGTCTGCGAACTGGCCTGGAAGATGATTGAGAAGCACCTGCACAAGCACCGATTCAGTGACTCAGGCAACGGGTGTTTTCATCAGCCAAAAACCATGACATGTCAAAAGGCCCAAAAGATTGAAAATGCCGTAGCACGAAGGACTAAGCCAATGGTAATCATGTAAATATGGATAGCTTCATTGAGCTTACACTGAGATGTGCCATGGTGTAGGGTATAAGGATGCAAAGTATACCAGAGATGGCCACCCCTTTGTTGCTGAAGACTGCTTATTACGTTTTTTAATGTAAAAAACCTACAAACTAACTGGTGGATGACAATCCCTGCTATAGGTATTTGATGCCGTTCATTCCTTAAACCCTGGCAGCTTTCTGCAGTGCCACATTGAGCAATGCCCAATGGCTTGTGGGAGCTGCTCCAAGCAGTGGGTGCAATGCAGTTTGGCATCAAATTCTCAGTGTCACGGAAGCAAAGCAGGCGGGATGTCCCGCAACATTCAAAAGTTTTAATTGAGTTCAAAAGCAAGTGGTTCATAGCGAGTTTCTTTATTTTTTGCAGCTGATACCCCGGCTAGGTGCTTTTCATGCGAAGAGTGCTGTTTTTGCATGATCGGGCTGTTCGCAGAGGTGGTCGTGCTGCAAGCGTCAGGCTGTCGATTGCAGATTGGATCAGTGAATGTGATCCTTGATTTTCTGTGAGTGCTAGTGTTTTGCTACTTTCCAAGTGGACTAGCTGTGAACATGTGCTAATGCCAAAACTTCTCCCACTCAAAAAAAGGTTGCGGGGTTCAAGTTTTAAGAAGTTATAACATAGCTAAGTGCTGTCATTTCAAGATGATGATGCTTTCCTAGCCTTTACAGTATAATATATTCCAATCGCCTATTGAAGGAACACCAGTCAGAACCAATAAGGGGATCTGGTGATTGCCTCATCGTTCAGGAGAGAATGTGTGTCATGCAACACATACTCCACGAAATGAGCCTGGCAGCTGATCACAATGGTGAAGGGATCTTCGAGCCTGGCACCACCGACAAGGTTGCCAAGAGAGCTGTGGATGGGTGCCTCTGGCATGTTCCGTTTGACAAAAACAATTTATTTGCGGAATTTATGCCTTGAGGTCTGTCCCAAAAAAAACACGTGTTTTTTTTTCCAAACTTCACCCTGTAGGGACTACAACAATGAGCTGCAAGAGCTTCTGACACTGAAGGATTCCAACTTCCAACCCCACTGCTTGCAAATGTGGACCGAGAACGTTTGCAAAAAGGCCCCTCCACCCGAAGTCAGCTTTCAAGCCGTGGATGATGAAATCAGCAAGTTGGACAAAGATGCCAGGGAATCAGCATTTCGCCAGGATGTCTTGAAGCTGACCAGGGACTGTGCCCAGCTGGGGATGCTTTACAAATCCATGGTCAACCATGAGAAGGCTGTGAGGATCCAGAAGGTAACCCATTTGAAACAGCAGAACACCATTGGGGCCAACTTCATTCGGAGGTTTATGTCGCTGAACATGAAGCATGTCGCTGGACGACTTGGTGAGTTGGAAGCAGCGACCGATGAGGCAAGGCTTCCCAAATACTAAACCATCATCTGTTCTCTGATTGTATCTTCCCCATAATCAAATTCAAACCAAGTTCAAGATGATGATGAAGATGATGATGATGATGGTGATGATGATGATGATGATATGATGATGATATGATGATGATATGATGATTACCATGGTTGGGTTCGCGCGCCGTTGGGGGTGTCCGTGGAACCCCCCCGCGGCGCGCGAACCTTGGTGCTGCTGGAACTTGATGGAGATGATTCTGATTTTTTGGTGATGGTGATGATCATGATGGTGATGGTGCTTTGAATTGCTATGTGCCCGCCCTGGAACCCTGTCAGTTCGTGAACTCCGTGAGCAAGTTGGACAAATTTGCTGGGCTTTTGGTGTGGCTCGACTTCACAAAGTTTGGTCGACTGTCCAACACCGACTTGAATGAAACCTTGGAGCTACTGCAGCTTGCACTCTCCCGGATCCCAGACCGAGCAGCAGCCTTTGTGATCTGCCCGCACTTGATCAGCGAGAAGGTGGCAGTGCAGGGGAACCTTCGAGGAGAGCTGAGGACTGCCGAATTGGGTCGCTCTTGTTTGTTTTCCATGTGTCCATGGTCAAAAGAAATCAAGAGATCATGTGTCTATCATGTGTGAACCGAATCAAGGTCCCCTCCATTCCTTTTGTGTATGTTGGTCAGGTGTTTGATTCTGATTCCGAAAGTGAAGAATCGTTTCAACAGAAATTGGTGATAGATTCTGTTGCTGGACAGATTCTTGATTTGTTACTGAATTTTGGTATAGGTCACCAAAGGGGAAGAGTTCATATGCGCTGCATGAAATCACCGCAGAGGGGCGTTGTTCAGAATAGTGTCAGATACTTGTCATGATATCATACAGGTGCCTAAAACAACTTATACCTGATCATACAGAAACTCTGTTGATTCGCCAATGGGTCAAAATGGATGCCCCATGATGCCCCCAGCTGAGAAAACTGAAAAGGGATGTGGCATAAGTCTAATACCATTCAGGTATTGCGTAAGATTCTTGCGTAAAAAATCATAAAATTACGATCACTTTTTCAAGGTTTGGTGCTACCACACCATGAAACCGAACCGGCTCACTAAAGCATAGAGAACCTATAAACAAAGTGGCAGGATCAATCTGTGAGCCAGGATCCAATTCCAATTGAATCACCATGAATTGGCACACATCAGTCAGATGAGACCACAAAAGCTCCCTGCAATTGTCTAAAAATAATTTGATTGATCCATTGATTTTGATGCTTTTGTTGTATTTTGTTGGGTTGTTCAGACTTTTGCTTCTGACATCTTTGGGGGTGCCCCATCCAAGTGATCAAATTTCACTCTACTTTCATGCTGTGGCTGATGGCACAGGCGTATCGAAGACAAACTGGATGCTCTCAACATTCACTCGGAGATGGTGATGATTCGAATGTCAGACCCACCGGGTCAAAAGCATGTGCCGCTACAATTCCCAGCATGGGTCTGCATGGATGAGGGAAGCAAAGCCAACAACACCTTCAAAGCTTCGCAGCTTGTGTTGGACAGGTGGGGTGTGCAGCTTCTCTTTTTCAATAGGGTTGTGTCCCATGTGCATCACCGCCACACAGAGTTTTTGAATGTGGAATTGTCTTTGACATTTTTGATTTTACAAAACCACAAAGCTGATATTGAGTTTTCATGGGTTTTCTGCTTCGCAACTTTCTGAGTAGGTTCAAAGCCTAATGAAACATACCCACTCAGGTGCACCCGGACAAGCCTACCATGGGCACCAGAAAGCTCATATGTGGTTCCTGCGCCATCGAAGGATGCCCCCCCGAATTCTGCCGAGATAAGGCTGGACCATGTTATCAGTTTATCCACGAGACTACTGTAATCATATGGCATCATATGGCATTTGGACAGTGTAATGAAGTTTGAACAAATTTGGGTTCATACTTATTGGGTACAATTGACTGCTGTATTATCCGTGTTTGATGCAACAGGTCCCTTTCACAAAGCCAAGAGAGTGCACAGCTGCTTGCTGGACCTGCGCTACCAGAACAAGTCTTGACCGCCTTGACTGCCAAGACCGGTCTTCAGGGAATCATTGGCTTAGTGAACCTGTCCCCATATGATGGTTGGCTGGAATCAGCAGCTTTGCGATGGGGGAAACGAACCACAGGTGAGATTGTCATGCCTTCCGTGTCCCTGTCGAAGAATTTGACTCTGATCTCCTATTGTGAAAGAAGCCTCGCCCTCCAGCTGATGCAGGACAGTCCTTGTTGTGCAAGCTCTTTGTGGTTGTTTCTCACCTGCGGCCACGAAGCAGTTTGCTTCTCATCATTTCCCATCCACGCAACAAAAATCACACCAACAGCAACTTATTTTTTTGCGGAGTTTTCTCAACGCAGCCTTAGTTTACATGCAGTACATGTCCAGGACAAGATCTGTATATCTTGGCCAAACTGAACTGTTCCAGGACTGGAAGAAATCAAGCCACTGTATGGGAAGTAGCGCTCCGCAATATCAGCCTGAAGCACCGAGACTGGAGCAGGAAGACATCAGCAAGTTCCCGCTTCAGGCCTTTGCCAGTGACCAGCACAGGTTGAAAGTTTTGGTCATTCTTGGAAGGTACCATTTCGTTAATGTCAATGTGTTTAGATGCAAAAAAGGAAAAAGGGCAGTGCCAAAAATGGCCCAGATTTTCAAACATTTTTGATAGTTCAATCGATTGAATGGTTGTCACTATTCCTCACACTGATTTCTTTTCTTTCTTCCTAATCCACTCGATTTGAGAACAAAAAATAATCTCAGTCACAGAGAAGACTGTCTCTGTCAGGTGGTGAGGTTGGAGAAGAACCCTGGGGAGAACCATGGATGGAAACAATGGAAGGTGACACTGCCACAGCCATTCCGCATGCACTGGCTGGAGGACGTTGTGTACTCCCAGGAATGGCGGGAATTGTTGAAAGACTTCGACCAAAGGCTTCTAGACAACGGTTTTATGACATTCCAATTCACAAGCAACACAAAATTGATTAGTTGTTACTATCCTTGTCACTTCCTTTCTTGGGTCATGAGCTTCCTGAAATCTTACATTTCCCTTCCTTGCTCCCAGGTTTGGTCTTGACATCTCAGCGGCTGAGAGCGTGGCTAGCTCCGAGATGTCAGTGCAGTCCTTGGCTCCAGCCCGCACACCATGGGAAGGCGAACCCAAAACAATTCCAGATCTCACTGATACTTAGCTTGAAGTTCTGCCACCATCACAAACAATCACAATGAATCACAATGACCAGTTCGTACCAATCCTTGTTTTGAGTTCACATTCTTCTTTAAACTGAACTTGATTTGGATCGTATATTATCTTATATTTTCAAGTTCAAACTGAGGATCGCTATCTGGTTGAAACGAAAATCAGTGGCAGGACAGCTGGCACAACACTCTTTGTTGTCAGTGCGAAGCAACGGGATGGCTCCACGAGCCAGGTCTGTGAGGGCCAAAGTTTCAAGCTCTTCCTGGTACCTAGACTTCATCATGTCTGACTTACAAGTTGACTTTGTTTGCTTTACATGATGATCGAATACTAAATCGCTCCAACAAAGTCAAACAAGATCCTGGTATTTTTCCATAGATCTCTTTACCCAGGCCGCGCATATGTCAGTGGAGATTCCGGTGGCCGAGTTTCAAATCGGGCATGGATCTGGCAAGTTCTTGCGGCCTGAGAAGGTGGCGTCTGTGCTCCGTGAGAACAAGCCAGGCTGGACATCATAATCATTGCACAATCATCAGTTTCAGTCTCCATCTGATATATGTACTGCTTGGCCATTGTGCAGTGAGACTCTCAAAAATTAATATCTACATGCCATCGCCATCTGGCTCATAGAACATTTGTTCGAAAACGGTCTTTCTATAAAATACAGCCCTTGTTTTGACCAGAAGGGTTGAAAGCGGGCAGCTGAGGGCCATGGGGTTGACTGAGCTTTTAGCTGCGCATGGTTTCAACCAGGACTAATTTTTTGTCTTTTCAGGTGATGGTGTGGAGGAACAATCCCATAGTAGGTCCCCAATCTGAACCCTTGTTTTGATTCTGATAGACATTCACAACCGTTCAATTGATATTGCTGAGTGAATTTGGCAACATCTATTTAGTGTGGCCTTGACTGTTTTTGAGTTGCTGGCTCTCTGAAGGACTTTGATACCCTGTCAGCAGCAGATCCCAGCATGACCCACACTCCGCAAAATATGGTCAGGTACTCAGATGACTCAACCTATCTGTCGGTTGTGGATGATTTCTGTGGACTCAACACTTGTGTGGACAGTGTCTCATTTTGATGGGGGGGCTCATGCTGCGATTACAGTAGATCATATAAAATCCTTTCTTTTCCAGATCCAGCTGCATGAAACTTCAATCCAAATCTAATGAAAAACTACCTAACACTGTTTGGATTTGAAAAATGATGAGACATGGCACCCTACTATAATGGGTACTGTCAGGTGCGTCGAGCTGCATCACCACCGAGTGCTACTCCTACACCTGTCTCTCCAAAAGCGGAGGGCCTTGAAAGCAAGGCCACAAAGTTGTCAGAATGCACCAAAGGTCCTGCAGGCTCTACCACTCTGCCGCTAACTTCTGGGATGAGGAATGACAAAAACGATCCAATGCTTCGACCCTCTGATGTTGACAAACTTGCAGCAGAGGTGAACGAGGAAGTCAAGGATATAGGGATGGGGTTGGGACATGTTGGGACATCCACCAGCTTAAACATATTGCATCAATTTTGAACCTATTATTATTGGATTTCTCAAAAAAATGAACGGTGATGTACCCATATGGTGATTTAACCGTGCTGAAAAAAACCTGTGATTGGTTTCATCGATGTTGCATTCCCATATTGCTCTGTGGTTTAGCCACGACTTTGCACACCCCTTGTCAGGACACAATGAAGAAGCGAGGCAGAAAGCCTAAGGACAAAGATGATGGTGCAGAAGAAGATGAGAAGGACAAAGGACAAGAAAAAGCAAAAGAGAAGGAGGCAGCAGCGATTCGAGGTTTGAAGAACTTGAAAGAAGACCCAAAGAGCAAAGTAGAAAAACACAAAGGTAAGAAGGTACAAGCAAAGGAAAAGGCGAAGGCATCAAAGGAAGATGATGACAGCAAGGATGCAGAGGAGTCCGATGAAGAACCTGGTTCCTCCCAGGACACCTTGCTTCTTGATGGCACAAAGGTGAAGGATCTCCCACCACAGCCGAAAGACAATGCAGCTGAGAAGAAGGCCGCCACCAAGGGCAAAGATGAAGAGGCTAAGAACAACAGCAAGAATGGCCCGACAATGCTGCGCAAGTTTTTGAATCCTTCTGAGGAGGAAAAAGTTGAGAAAAAGAAGAAGAACTCTTCGAAGTCGAAAGGAGAAAAAGAAGAGAAGGATCGTAAGACAGTCAAGGAAGTGAAGAAAACAGCAAAAAAGAAAGATGAGGCTGCCTCGGAAAGTGAGGAGGATGAGAAGCCTGTAGCAAATAAGAGAGGCCGACCTACTGCAAAGAGGACCGCAAAGCGTCCAGTTTCAGCAAAGACAAAGGCAACCAAGAAGGCACATCAGAAGACAGCAAAGGAAGAGAAGGAAGAGGAGAAGGAAGATGATGATGAAGATACGGATGAGGAAGAGGAGCATGATGAGGATGAATGTTTGGAGAGTGAACAGGGTGACGAATCTTCAGAAGAACAAGAGACCAACAAGCCGATGAAGAAAAGCCAAGCGAAAAAGAAGGAGCAGAAGGATGATGAGCTTGAGGGCGCAAAAAAGTTGCGGAAGCTTCTGAAGAATGCAGACAAGAAGGAGAAAGCAGCTGCAAAGGCAAAAGCGAAAAAGGCGCAGAAGAAGAAGCGAGATGAGAGCGAAGATGAATGTGGGTCTGAATGTGAAGATGACACGGAAGAGGAGGAAGCAAAGCCCACTACTGTCAAAAGAACGAAGGGTGGCAAGAAGGATGACAAAGATGATGATGATTCTTCTGAGGAGGGGCACAAGAGTAAGAAGGGCAAAGGAGTTCCAAAGAGCACTGCCAAGAAGAGCATGAGCTCAAAGCCAAAGAAAACAGTCAATGCCAAAACGACCAAGAAGGAAAATGTGCAGAAGAAAAAGCAGAAGAACGGCAGCGAAGACAAAGATGAAGACTTGCAGAGTGAGCTGAATATCGATGAAGATTTGGAGGAAAGTGAGGAGGGAAAGCCAAAGGAAGAGCCCATGAAGCCGGAGAAGCGAAGCGAAGAAAAGAAGAAAGATGAGGAGAAAGATGAGGAGGAAGAGGATGCCCCGAAGCTGAAGAAGCGAGGCAAAGGACAGAAGAAAGATGAGGACAGCGATGAGGAGGAAGAGGATGCCCCGAAGCTGAAGAAGCGAGGCAAAGGACAGAAGAAAGATGAGGAGAAAGATGAGGAGGAAGAGGATGCCCCGAAGCCGAAGAAGCGAGGCAAAGGACAGAAGAAAGATGAGGAGAAAGATGAGGAGGAAGAGGATGCCCCGAAGCCGAAGAAGCGAGGCAAAGGACAGAAGAAAGATGAGGAGAAAGATGAGGAGGAAGAGGATGCCCCGAAGCCGAAGAAGCGAAGCAAAGGACAGAAGAAAGATGAGGACAGCGATGAGGAGGAAGAGGATGCCCCGAAGCTGAAGAAGCGAGGCAAAGGACAGAAGAAAGATGAGGAGAAAGATGAGGAGGAAGAGGATGCCCCGAAGCCGAAGAAGCGAGGCAAAGGACAGAAGAAAGATGAGGAGAAAGATGAGGAGGAAGAGGATGCCCCGAAGCCGAAGAGGCGAGGCAAAGGACAGAAGAAAGATGAGGAGAAAGATGAGGAGGAAGAGGATGCCCCGAAGCTGAAGAAGCGAGGCAAGGGACAGAAGAAAGATGAGGAGAAAGATGAGGAGGAAGAGGATGCCCCGAAGCCGAAGAAGCGAAGCAAAGGACAGAAGAAAGATGAGGACAGCGATGAGGAGGAAGAGGATGCCCCGAAGCTGAAGAAGCGAGGCAAAGGACAGAAGAAAGATGAGGAGGAAGAGAAAGACGATTCACAGGACAAGGAGGACGACAACAAGAAGGACGAAAACCAGGACGACAACCAGGACGACGACCAGGACGACGACCAGGACAACAATCAGGGTGTTATCGCCAAGGCAGGTTTCCCAACATGTTATCAAATGTTATCAAAGTGGTACCACAGAATTGTCAATTAAGGATCCCAGCAACATCCAACAATATTTCAGTGGACTGAACTTGTGGAAACAGGTGCCTATCAAAAAGTTACCAAATCGTATTGTCAACTAACTTTTATCAAATGGGTACCAGGGATTGTCAAATATTATCTCAAAAAATTATCGACATGTTATCAAAGAGTTACCAAGCATTCTCAATCAAACAGTATCACAGTTTATCGAATGGTTTTCGCTCGGAAAAATCAAGCAGAGCATGCTTGGGTGGTCAAAGGTTCTTTGAGTGTTTCTACAAATGGGGGAACCCCCAGATCATTAATTTCAAGGGAACTCTTCATCATAAACCAGCTGGTTTGTGGCACGGGCACCCATCCACACTGTGCCATGGGAGTCAAACTCATGCATTTCCTTCGGAACTATTTCGAATTCAAGTATGAACCAAAAAAAATATCACAAACCCATCCAACTTCCCTGCAGGGCACAAGCCTGCGTGATGAGTACAACAAGTACTTGACCAATGCCATGGCCGACTTGCGACTGTCCCATCCATCTTGGTTGGGGCATGAGGTGATTGCCAAAGCCCGGGAGATGTCTGGGCCCTACATCATTGTGATTCCATTATTGCGTTGTGTGATAAGTTAGTCAACCAATTTGACAGAGACCTGAACCCCCCTTCATTTTTTCTCCATGTTCCACCCAACTCTGTCCTGGAACTTGAGGTGGAAGAACAGCTCAGAGCGCCTGAATTCCATCCGCAACATGACAGCCTCAGAACGAAGCCGCCGTAGATTGACCAAAGATGGTTCCACTGCTATGAGACGCAGTGCACGTAGTGCTGAATCTTGAGTGGTTACATCAAGACACAGTGAACTGGCTTGGGGATTGGCCCAACATGGCTCAACAAAACTCAAAAAAGATTAGTCACTCAATAGGGCGACAATAGTGTGGGCTCTCACACCTTCAAAAGGTCCCCATGATGATGTGGCAAGCCCCATGCTTTCGCTGACTTGGGTTTAGCAAGCTGCTGGCATAGACCCTAGCCAAAGGCTGCTGAGTTTGGATTTGGGGCTGTTCAGTCCGAGGACTGTGGTTGGCCCAAAAAAGCTTGAGACTATCCGCGAAGAAGATGGAGAAAAAAATCCTCCTATCCCTTTTCTTTTGCACCTTGTGAATTCCATCATGGAAACTTAGACTTACAGCCTCACTTCTAAACATTTTCATGGAATGCGGGGCCAGGGGAAGCTCAACGACTGATCACTGCTGAGTGGACCAGTGACACTGAGATGGTGGTTTTAGAAGTTCCTCAGGAAGGCAGCAAAGCCACAACAGACAGCGACCGAAGCACATGGAGAAAGCTGCTTCATGAGTTGGAAAGTGAAGCTGAGATTGTCGACGCGACAATCAATTCTCATGAGCTCAAGAGGGCAAACTGCAACAGCGGTGCAGGGCTTACACAATCAACTCTGTTGGTCTCAACTCTGTTGGTCACATGCTGTTTTCTCTAGCTTCTATGGCCCCAATGCTTCATGCCTTTGGCAAAGGTGATGACAATTTTGAGATCCAGCCCAAGCCAAAGCCCTGTGTGTTCCAGTGGGGCCAGCCCACATCAGTCAACACTTGCAAGTGGTCTTCAGTGGCATCTGCATTTCCGGCAGAGGCACGAAATTGTCAGAGTCATTTTTTTCGACATTGGAGATTTATAGGTGGGTTCAGTGGCATCTGTGTTTTCCACACTGCGTTTGTTGTTCTGAGATGTGCTAGTCAGGCTTTGAAGGGATCCAAAATGCTTTCACTTTGCTGGCGCATCGCGTACACAAAGGAATCCAATGCTGCTTGGCATAAATTTGAACGCAACAACATCCAGATGTACACTGATGCCTGTTTTTTAGTCAGTCAGTCAGTGTTTTCATCCTCCCACTGCCCCCTCTCTTAGGAACTCAGCCCACGTGTCTTGGCTGAAAAGATTACAGACACACACATACACACAGCGCTAAAACTCTTGTGATGTTCATCATGTTCAGATCCTTTTTGATTCCAATTCCAAAAAAAAAGTTGAGGGAAGCCGCTGTACTTCTTGAAGGGGGCAACTGATCTGAAGCTCGAACAGGATGAAGTGATTCGCTTGGTTTGATGTTGTGCAAACCCAACATCAGTTTTGATCGCAATGGCATCTAAAGCGTTAGGTGACCTTCAAGTCCCAGCTATTGCTTGGCAATGGCACAGCGGTTTGGGCTAATCTCATTCAAGTGATTTGAACAACTTCGAATGATAGCAAACAACCAAAGAGAGCTTAGAACAAAGTTCATCAATATTCTTGACAACCATGAAGAAGCCGCAGCCATGTCAGCTTTAGCTTCTTGGATGTGAGACCATGGTGACAAAAGGCTAGGTAGGTTTCTACATGTTTCTACACCTGGCTTAGTTTGTTTCACCACCCTTGACTGTGAGCAGTCATGACTAAGGGCCCGGGCAAAGCACGCCAGAAATTCTGGGGTGAAAAGGGATTGAGCATGCAAACATCACAGTCTCTGGGCAATTTTGTTTGGGTTGAACATTCTTGAAATTTTATTGCATTCTTTGAATCAACACAAAATTGCCCAGACTTCCGGCCGAGCAGGTTTAAGTGTGCAAGCTGCCGCATCACCAAGATAGCTTTCCACATCATCAATGTTTATATATAGTTTGAATTTTAAACAGTTCCCCATTGATATGGAATATTAGTTTTCCTTCGTTTTCCGTTCATGACTCAACACCTCCTAGGCCTACAATGTGGGACACCGTTTGGAAGCTATCTCCTTGATGGTGCGATGCGCAAGAACTAAGAACACATGCTTTGCTGATGCAATGCAGCTGTGCATTTCAGTTGTCATTAAACTAAGCCGTTCTGTTGTGGTAAGAACTGTTCATATGAGAAAACATATCATACCAGTTACCAGGACCAAACCATACTTTGATTTCCGTTGCGAACATGATTTCCGTTCATGGCTGATAGCCATGATAGAATGAAGCTGCAGGATGTCGTTTAGAAATATCCTTCATGGTGTGGTGCTCAAGGAATACCAAACTTGAATTAAAGGCGTTGCTGCTTCCATTTTTGAGCCCTTGGTATTTCTCACAACATGTTTGAATCTAAGCAAGCCCTTGGTTTTGGACAGATTCCATTACTTTCCAACTTTTTTGATTCTCAACCATTCCAATTTGATCCACCTGAGATCCAATGCCACCAAAACTACATCGGATCATGCTTTGCCCAGGACAGCTCCAGACTTTGTATGCTTGGCAGTGTGGCTCCCAGCTGTTTAGATAATTATCTTGATTTGGGTGGTTAAAAAAATCATATGGAAGATTCCCTCATTATATTGACTTGGTGGGTTAAAAAAGCATATGGAAGATTGCTCGGAATTATATATGAATTATATGAGAGCCCTGTTTGTGGAGAACACTTCTTTTTTTGTCTCTCTAGACTCTATATTATCCTGAGTATTTATAATATTTATCTTATTATGTGTTGCTCAGCTCTGTGACTTTCAGCTTGTCTTGCTTTGTCTCGCTTCTCTTTTCCCGGCGTTCCGTGTTACTCTGTTCCCGGCGTCCCGGCGTTCCGTGTTACTCTGTTCCCGGCGTCCCGGCGTTCCGTGTTACTCTGTTCCCGGCGTCCCGGCGTTCCGTGTTACTCTGTTCCCGGCGTCCCGGCGTTCCGTGTTACTCTGTTCCCGGCGTCCCGGCGTTCCGTGTTACTCTGTTCCCGGCGTCCCGGCATTCCGTGTTACTCTGTTCCCGGCGTCCCGGCGTTCCGTGTTACTTTGTTCCCGGCGTCCCGGCGTTCCGTGTTACTCTGTTCCCGGCGTCCCGGCGTTCCGTGTTACTCTGTATGCTCTGTTCCCGGCGTCCCGGTGTTCCGTCTTACCCCCGCTTGGCTCTTTTCCTGGCGTCCCGGCGTCCGTGTCACTACGTTTGACTCTGTTCCCGGCGTCCCGGCGCTCCGCGTTACCCTGCTTGACTATTTTCCCAGCGTGTTGCCCCACTTGAATGCGTTCCTAGGACTTCCGTTTGTTCTCTTTGTTGTTGGTTTTTGGTTGTTTTTGGTTTCTGGTTTGTGGCTACTAGTATTGTGCCGCCACTGGGTATGCCTAGGTTATTCTACGGATCCTCTTGTGCTCCTAGAATTGGAGGTGCGGTTCGGGATTTCTGGGAAAGCTTCTGGATGATCCTAAAACAGTTGGTCAAAATTGTGCTCACCCAGTGAGAAAGCAAAGAACTGATTTGACAAGTGCATGTCAGCAGTGAGGGTCAAGCCTTCCAAGACATGGCTTTTGTTAGTTTCAAGTATGTCCAGTTGTCCTGATCTGAAAGAGTTGCATTGACATTCGATTTAATTTAACTTTACATCTTTCTGCGGAGGTAGCAGATTAAAAAAAAAAATGTTCACAGAAACATCCGAACCTTTGCACTCACCTATGAACAATATCAAATCAAAAGGTGAGTTCACTGTGATTCATTTGCTTTGCGCTGCAATGGGTTCTTCTCGGAAAAAGAAAGAAGATGACACTCCGAAGCCCCGTGCTTGTCGTCGAAGGAAGTATCTAGATGAGCTTATACCTGATGTGGCCTCTCCCCACAAGAGAAGAGAAGCACTTCAGCGCATTTATGAAAAGCCGCGAAACTCGGAAATGCTCAGTCTACAGTTATTTTGCTTTGTGTTTGCAACTTTTGTGCTTAGCGATATGGCCTTATTTTTCAAGCAGGGGTTCAGGATTCCAAGGCCCATAGCAAGGAAAGGGGCAGCGCAACAAAAAGAAAAAGGGTGCAACAAAAACACATGCTGCACAAACCATGACTTTGCAGCGTGGTGTTGGTGTTGATGTTGGGGTGCAAGCAACATCTTCTACGGATGTTGGGGTGCAAACAATGCAGACTACTTCGTTGTCCACAGTGGGGACTCAAGTTGAGCCAGCTTCTAGGGGAAAGAAGCCTGATGATGTTGAGACATGCCACTTGTGCTACAAAGTCCATGAAAAGGATTGCCATGAAAACTATGTGCTGAGTTGCTAGGTTGCACAAGGATTTCGGGTTCGTTTGCAATCCCCCAATTTTTTCATGTTCAAATTGAAATGAAAATCAACGGGAGAAAGTGACTCATTTTTTTGACCACCTCTTTTTGTTGGTGAGGCTGGAAGAACGAATCGCTCAGATACGAGTTGAAACTTAAATCGATGGAAATTGATGACCTCAAAAAAAAATTGGCAAAATTTTCCCATGGTCAAAAGACCTATGGATACTAGCACTTTTGGCAAACCTGTGGCGCGAAAAAGATTGCTGCATGCACTCGGTTGCTGGACTTATACGAGCTTTCTTCGAAAGAGACTTGTTGAAGTGTTGCTTGTTGGAGATTTGTGGGTTGTGTGCCAGGTGAGTGATGATGCTGACATAGATGCGGCTTACATGAGAAAAAAGTGTGCGCACAAGTGATGCACAGAGCTGTTATGACATCTCTTAAGAGCTTCACACCATCAAGGATCCCAACCCTTGAGATCATTCATTCTTGATAAATTCTTAATTACCCCAATTTATAAGACCCAAATCTAAATTGATAGGACCCAATTGCAGGGAAATTGACATATATATATTATATTGGTGAAATCCCAATAAATCCCATGAAACTTATCGGTTGGTATCCCATTGGTCCCAGGATCGTCGTGTCGCTCCAGCTGCGGTGTTGCTCTTCGAGCCCTGTCACAGCCTGGTGCAGGCGGGGCCCGGCCCGGCCGGGATGCGGGGATGGGGAGGTCGGGGAACGAAGAGATTTGGGGCTTAAAGTTACTTGGCTATGGGTCAATACCTATAGATACATTTTTAGTGGGATGAACATCCATTTACCAGCTATTTTGATGTTCACCAGGGGTACAAGGTTTTGACCCATCCCCACTTTGTTTAAAACAAGGATTTGAAAAGGGAACTTAGTGAATGATACAAATCTGGATTTAAGATGATTTAAGGCACTTTGAAGGGAACTTAGTGAATGATACATGAAACTTTGATGGGAGAAATCAGTGCTTTCCTCTGGAATCTGAAGTTTCAAACATGGAGATTGAAGTGCTGACTTGAACGATGACGTGGGACTTGAGAGACATTGAACGTAACAAATAAATACCAATGTGGTTATTGAACATGGACCATTTGAATATGATTTATATACCTATTTTTCATAGACACGGTGATTTTCCAGAACTATGTAAAGTTATCTCTGGGTATCCAGAGGTTAAGCAAAACATACCGACATCGAGATTATCGAGATTTCACCAGCTAAATTGGGGAGACCTTCAGTGTTTGATGGGAGAACATTGGGCTTCAACTGGAAGTGCGGAGTTTGCAGCAACTTTCAATCATTTTAACCAACCAACACTTACTTACCCTCTGGTAAACAAACATAGCTATTGAACATGGCCATTTATAGTTGATTTTCCCATTAAAAATGGTGATTTCCCATTGAAACGTCTTTAGACATTCCTACTCTGTGAACAACTTCCATTTGTATCAACAAACGCCCCATGTTTCCTGTATAATCCAAGAAGTTTCCTGGTTGGATCTCATTGTCATCCCATTATATTACCCCATTATTATCCATATTAAACCATCGAAATCCTGGGTTTTCCAAGCATTTTCCCGTCAGGAGCACGGAAGCTTCGCCTCCGGCACGGATCGTCAACGTCGCCTGAGCTTCGCTTCGCCGCACTGGCGCCGCCTGGCGCGGCTGTGGGCGGCGCTGGATGCGGTGCACCGCTTGAACAAGGCCCTGGCGGCCCTGGTGCTGGATGGTCATCGGATGGTCCCTCTGGTAATTTGTTACATGGGGATGAATCAAAACCCTGGTACCTAGTGAACCCCAAAATCGCTGGTAAATGGATGTTCATCCCACTAAAAATGTATCTATAGGTATTGACCCATACCCACATATCTTTTTGGGGGATCAAAAGCTATGAAATGTCCACGGATTTTCCCATTAAAAATATGGGGTTTTAACATGTTTTAACCATTGTTGACCATTGTTATTACCAATACCCTCTGGTACCATAAGTTATTAACCAATGGATAATCTATGATAATCCATAGGCCCATTTGTTGATGAATTTTCCACTATCAACGAGTCCCCTTTGTAGATGATTTTCCATAACCAATTATTGCCCATTGTTGACCATTGTTGTTACCCTCTGGTAATTTCTTGCATAGCTATTGAACATGGCCATAGAAATAGTTGACTTTCCCATCTTCAACATTGTGATTTTCCATAGTTATGTATACATATGGGGGTTCCTAAGTCATGGGGGTACCACCGAATCATCCAAAATTATACCATTTGAGTATTGAAACCTATGGTTTTGGTGATCCCACATTTTCAGAAGCACCCAAAAAAGGGGGGGTCCATAGTGGGGGTACCCCCATGACTATGGATGGTCCCAAGATGTCTCAGTGATGTGGAAATTGAACATCTTTCAATGGTTTCGGAACAGGGGGTGTTTAGTATGAACGGGGGATGAAAAGAACGCGGAGTCCCCTATTTGATGACTATTTCATTGACTATTTCAGTGTGTTGTCCCAACAGAAAAAACATGATATACCCTTCGGATGATGTAGCAATGTAGCCCCGATAAATGGTTGCTCGTTGGGATAGCTATGGTTGGTGTTAGTAGGTTCAAGTTCTTCCTGGGTATAATTGGGTTAATGATAGCATCAAGAGATTTTGCAAGAGGTGTTACCGTGTTACCCAGAAAAAGCTCATGATTTCATGGTATCGCAAATCATCCAGTTGCACTATCAGTGGGTTTTTTCACACAGTACTGAGGCTGATTGAATCCTTTATGTGCCATGGCGCCATGGCGCCATTTTTGGTTTGGTACCCCTTGGATTTGGTCATGATTTCATTCTGATTGGATATCTCCTAAAAATATCGGCACAAATATCGGCACAAAAACAGATATATAGTAATCATCACCATAAAAAGATGCTGAAGAGTTTTTTTCCAGGATATGATAGATGAAGTTTCCAATCCCCCCAGGTTTCCACCTTTCCTACTTGGGGCTTGCCAGCTTGCGGATTGCTCATCACTCCAGGTGATGTTGTGACCTGAAGTCGTTGCAGTTCATCCAGATATGGTTTTGTTAGTGATATCCCATTGTAAGTCCCATAAATATCCATAAATCATAAAATTTATTGATGCCCCATGATAGCTCTCTTTTTGCTTGGTAGACTGAATAGCTCTCTGAACTGAGCAGCGTTCCATCTGGGGTGAAAGTCTCATCGCAGCATGTTGGGGACGATCACAATGTCACAATCCACTGGGAAATCCGATAAACAAACCTCTATGACAACATGGTACGTTGGGGAATTCGTGATAAGCACAGGATAGTACACATCTTTATCCATGGCATGCATGGCATGGTTTGATGATGGTTGATGATTATTCCATGGTACAAAGCCATGGGAATTCATGAGCACTGGTCCTGGAGGCGGGACGTAGCTGCACCCAACGGGAGCTTTTCTATCGAGCCATCTCAGATGCTGGGAATGGAGGAAATGAATGGAAATGAGACGTGAGGGTAGCCCAAAACTCACTTAACAGTGGGGATGTGGGGATGTACAATGGGGTACACACAATTATATACACAGATAATGGGAGACAGAATGAATTACTGGGCTATAGAATGGGATATATAAGTAAGGCTACTTTTGGGTTGTGCAACATAAGGGCATACCCGGATATTGGAATTGATCTCCACCTAAAGCCGCGAACGTGACTGTTTCGGTAGCCTACTCTGGGAAAACGCCCCAGCTGGGGATAGGAGAGATGACTGATCAGTTGCTTTACGAAGGGTAGCCCCGAACCTACACATCCAATGGTACAATACATGCACGGTAGATGACATAGCAAAGAGACCCTTCTATTTACTGGAAAATTGTTGCCTTACAGACTTCACTTTGGGTAGCCTTTTTGGGTAGCCTTAGTCACCTTCCTTTTTGGCACATCGCTGCCATCAGTTCCCAACAGCTTTCATTGAGGATTGCCAGGAGCTGTTCGCGTGCCAGTCTATCATGGATAAGGCACTGCGTGATGCGGTGGGTGCCTTGCAAATCAGCCGTCCGCATTTGGGCATTTTCACGGCGGAGAAGGGCTTATTGGCAGGACCGGGATTTGTGAAAGTCCATGGAGTTTGATCTTGGTTGTTCACAGTCCAAGATCTTTTGTCCTCCTGGATCATCGTCCTCAACGTTTAACGATGTTTAACATCCGGAGATTCGGATTATGAACTCACCCAGAAGATCTGAAAAAAAGAAACCGTTCTCAAAGTGACCATTTCTTGCCATGGAGCCACGGCCCGCACGTTGGCCAAATTTCCTTGTGCCCCAGGCGACGTCACGTTCCAAGATCCCACGTGCTACGTCTCCAGGGCTGCGCAGGGTGCCAGTGGGACGTCCATCGGTGAGGCGATGCTGGAAGATGACAAGTGCATCCAGGTCTCTGAGAAGGTGGAAAATTTGTTGGAAACGTTGGAACACCACTGGGGCTTCAAGTCATATGGGGATGGGTCAATACCTATTAATACCATTTTTAATGGGATGAACATCCATTTACCAGCTATTTTGGGGTTCACTAGGGGTACAAGGTTTTGACCCATCCCCATATATATATATATATATACATATTATATAGAATTATGGAGGTTTCCTAAAATGGTGGGTACCCCAAAAGCTGGATGGTTTATAAAGGAAGATACTTAAATACTATTCACATGGATGATTTGAGGGTAGCCCTATTTTAGGAAACCTAGCCATATATAAGCCATGTATCACTGGATTATATTGGGGTGTTCTCGATGATTCTCATTTATAAGGTTGATACTGTATTATTGGACTACCGTTTGGTAATGAAACGTGGCAACTGAAAATCCTCTTTGAATTGAGGTTTTAGCAGGATAATCATCTATAAATGGTGGAATTTCCATTGTCATGTTTGATTGCCGGACGGTACTCTGGGCAAACCTTTTTGAATTTATGTAATCCCTCGACCATACGAACATTAGAGTCTATTATCAGGTTTACTACACCAGTTATACTGGAGGTTGACACATGAATCATGATCAAAAATTGTGGTGTAGGGAATTCACTTTGAATCCTTTTTGGGAGCCTTGTGTGTATTGTTCCAGCTTTGGATTTTGAGCGCAGAAAAGAGAAAACAGGATGTGAAGCTTGAAGCAACCATGCAACATGCGCGTCATCTCCCAAACAACTGGAGCTTTCGTTCATCACCTGCACCATATCTTTGTGGCGTCGAGAAATCTCTCACAGCATTGGGGTAACATGATTTCGTATCATGTTTTCTAACTATCATGTATCAAAAATGGAAATTATATGCTAAATTATGGCGCATATATTACCGCATATATCATGTTTCCCATCATGATATTTGCCATGATTTGCCATATTTCTTCGGAGCCTTGTGAGGCCAAGTGGGTTTTGGTGGTTGAGAAAGACACGGTCTTCCAACATTTGTTGCACAGTGGTCTGTTGCAGCGCCATCCCTTGATTCTGATCACGGGCCGTGGCTATCCGGACATCTTGACGCGGCGCTTCCTGCAGAAGCTGCAGCGGATTGCCCCCAGGCTGCCGCAGCTGTACTTGGGGGATTTTGAAGCTTGGTGTGCTGAGAGTGATCAGATAAACAAGGGGGTGCGCCCCAACAACCCCATTCAGTCAGTTTCTCGACATATCTACCATAAATCCATATAAATCCTAGTTAAGCCAGTTGTAAATCAACTTAGCTATCTAGGGGGGCCCACCCTGTAGGATAGTTTTTTTGGCCCGGAATGCATGGTGTATGTAGGTGATAGAAAGCATATTTTTAAGGGACCACAGAATGGTGGTGTTTAACATGGACGAGGTATTGGATTTATTTTTGGGGATTTAAGTAACAATTTCGTTAGGATACGATATAAGAATACCATGGAGGTATCAGATTTGCTGTAATTAACTTACGTAACCAACAATATATACTATAATATAACATAATATAATATTAATATAATCTAATATTATATTATATTATATTATATTATATATTATTATATATTATATATATATATTATGAACTTGGGCAGTTTCAGCCAACCCAGAGCAGACTCCCCCAACAATGGTCGCCTTTAGTGAGGCTTTATGTTCCACCTATTTCTGCGGGGATGGTTCATTATTGGGTTTACATGGGTTTACCACATGATAGGTGGTACTTGGAAGATCATATACTTACAGTAACCATCATATAACTTTTAGCCATTATATATATATATAGGGATAAGGCCACTTTAACAGCTTACTAAGGGTTGTTCACCACTTATTAAGTGGAATGGTCCTCTAAGTATCCGTCGAGCCTTGTCCATGGGGGATGCCGCAGCAATTATTGCAGTTTTGAGGGGGAAACTGATGATTAAGCAGTGGATATATATATATATATATAGTGTATTCGGTATGCCCCACTTTTGGACAGCATGTGCGCATGGGTCGAGCAATTGGGGTACCATTCCCCCAAATGGTTGGTTAATTCATTTTGTTTTGCGGGGAGGATAAATCTAATCCATGGCCTTTGTTGATTTCCCATAATTCCCCGGACAGGTTCATGGATGCATGAATGGTTCATCATTTGTTTAATAGGACTGGGATAGACTAGGCAATCGTTTTTTTCTTTATTCTAAACGCTTACCAACAAAGCAAGAATCGATGGGAACCCCAAAATGGATGGAGAAGTTGAAACCTGGGAACTATGAAATAAATATCATCATAATCAATGATGAATATACAATGATCAATCATCAATCATCCATTGTCCATCGATCCATTGTCCATCATCCATTGTCCATCATCCATTACCCATCACCATTCATCCTTCATCCTTCATCCTTCATCATTAATCCTTCATCCTTCATCCTTGATCCTTGATCCTTCATCATTCATCCTTTATCCTTCATCATTAATCCTTCATCCTTCATCCTTGATCCTTCATCATTCATCCTTTATCCTTCATCCTTCATCCTTGATCCGCGATCCTTCATCCTTCATCATTCATCCTTGATCCTTGATCCTTGATCCTTCATCCTCCATCATTTATCATTCATCATTCATCCTTCATCATTCACCATTCATTTTCATCATCATCATCGTCATCAGCATCATCATCATCATCATCATCATCATCATCATCACCAAAAGCAACATAATACTATAATCATATATTAAACATACCATCCGGTAGGAACTGTCGGGCATTTTTTTGTCGTCCAAGGATCCAGATGGTGTGGCCATCTATCTGCTTTACCTCACCAGCTGCCCACAGCTGAAGTGGCTACCTGGATGAAAAAGCTATACACTGCCTGACTTTTTTTGGGGATTCGATGGACCACTTATCACAACTTATCCCATTTTATCATCGCACTAAAATTGAGCCTAACTTCCCCAAAAAAAAGCAAGAAACCAAGATAATTCAAGCAAACTTAAGGCAAATTGAATAAGCTCAAAGTATCTGTAAAAGTGAGTTCTTCCACCCACAACATCCACATGTGCCAAGGTCAAGAGTTGTGTAATTTACCCATATTATGGTATGATCATCAATCCAAGTAGTTATTCAATGTTATTCATATACCAAAAGGAATCATCCCATTTATGGATTTTATGGGATGGATGACACCATGTATTATTAATATATATCAATGGGAATGGGATAACACCATTTATGGGATGGACACCATTTATGGATGATATACCCAAGTAGTTATTCAATGTTATTCAATGTTATTCATATACCAAAAGGATTCTACATTTATATACATTTATGGGATGGATGATGGATGACACTATGTATCTACCCCTACCATGACACCATGACATCTGCCACTCAGGTTGGGCCTGCACTCCACGGACCTGCCACAGCTCAACGCCGCCACGGCAACGCCGCTGCGGCGCCGCGATGCGGCGCTGAAGGCGTCGCTGCTGCGGCGTGAGGAGCTGCAACGGAGGCCGAGGATCGCGGAGGAAGTGGAAGCCATGAAGATGAAATTCAAGTTGGAGGCGGCTTGGAGTTGGCGGATTTATATTTAGTTTATATGAGATTTATATGGGATTTATATGATGTATTTATATGATGTATTTATATGATGTATTTATATGATGTATTTATGATGTATTTATCTGTAATATTATGTAATTCATTGTCCAAACTATTGGGATTATATATGCAGGTTTCCTAAAAATGGTGGTACCCCAATAGCTGGATGGTTTATAGTGGAAATATCCTATTAAAATAGATTATTTGGGGGTTACCTACCCTCTGGTAAGCGTTTCCATAACTATGGAAAAATCACCATCTAACTAGTGGTAAATCAACTATTTCTATGGTCATTTTCAATAGCAAACTAAGAAGTTACCAGAGGGTATATGATAGATACATCCCCAACCTTGGCTGGATGGCCAGTTTAATCCTTTCGGCTTTTGCAAAAAAATGGAAAATCACAGAATTACCCTCAAAAGTTATTCAATTTTCTGGTGGGCTATTAGAGATTGGCCATGGATATACTACTCGTATATACAATTATATATATAATTACATATGTGTGTGTGATAGATGGGATATATATATATACATCTTAGATATACTGATAGAGATATGGGTATATATTACTATTAATGGGAACATATCATCTATAAATGGGAATATACTGTATATGATAGATGTATAGGATGACGTAGATAGTAGATATTATATTGTTAGTTATATGATATACAGATATGATATATCAAAGGGATGTACGGGTTATAGTTATTGATATGCCCATGTATATATATATATATATATACGTATGATATAAATTGATAATATGTATATATAATCGATAAACTGCTGGTATTTATTTATATATGTACACATATATTGTGGGAGGTTGTTGGCTTCTTGAGGCTGCTGAATAACATATATCCATATAGAATGTGCATGGGTACATTTATGGAGGCTGGGATTCTTGGGGCTTGGGGTTCTGGGAGCTAGTACATGTTCAATACAGTGTTTAATATGTTCGGAGGCGGTGGCTGCACACGCAACACAACATTTCATGGGATAACATGGGTAGATATGGAATATATATATATATAAAATGATATGTATATTACGTTTTTTTTTTCCACATGGCACACCGTATATATATATATATGTATGTGTATATATATATACGTATGTATATATATATATATACGTATGTGTATATATATATATATACATATATATATGTATATGATACAACATATATATATAATTATAAACAAACATGTGATATTTTGTTGGGGCTTGGGGGCTGATGAATGACATGTATCATGGGTGTAGAAAATTCGATCAGGGGCCTCTATTGAAACTGCGGAGGCGCTTCATGCCGGAGATGGAGATCAGTCACACATGGCCCTGACTTTCATTCCTCAGAAGATCCAGAACTCCTCCTGGATTTGAGGGCTCCAAAGTCCGTCGACTTTGGACTTTGGCTTTGGAAAGAGGTCTGAATGTGTTGGACGTTTCTAAATGTACTTTGTGCACCAGGGAAAAGGTGTGCAAATTGCGCACGAATTCGAAATGGATGAACAAGATTGAACATGCAGATTTGATTAAATTCGGTGAATTCAGAGAGTGACAGTTGCACAGTAAACTTCGGTGCATCATGCTCTCCAGTAATCCTATCTTGTTGGTGGAAAATTCTCCAAAAATGATGGTGCCCAAAACCCGTAAATCAAGCGTCACTCACAATTTTCTCTATTCAAATAGCCGATAGCCGTTTGGGGCTGCACCAATGTTTTTCGACACATCCATATGACTGGTGATTTTTCCCCACTTTGGATTCCAAATAGGGTACATTTAGAGAAAACGTTTCCGCTGCGTGACTGCGTGGGCTCAAAATGATGGCGTAATCATTTGATCAATGCATTCTTTTTGGCTGGCCCAATGATGCTGAGATGCCTGATGTCTTTACCATGGCAGTAGTAGATGATTCTGCCTGATAGCAAGATCATTTTCTCTCTCTCTCTCTCTCTCCCTCCAAATTTTCCCTTGAAAGTGGTGCTCTACCGCTGCAGGCGGAGTGATGGACGTTTGGCTCGCGACCCAGATTCATAAAAGCAAACTATAAGTAAACCTGATCCACTGTTTGCATTGGATACCATTGTTGGTTGGTTATTATAGTGGGTTATACCTGGTTTCCTATGCCCCATCGTGGGAAGGTTCAATCTATGATTTTTATTGATTTTTCAGGTATTGCTGGGAGGATGAGCAGCTTAGCCAACCTGCTAAGGGACCTTGGCAGCGAAAAAAAACAACATTGGAGGAGCGGGCTGGCGGGCTGCATCCGTCACAGTTTGATGAATGTCTGCGACTACCCATGACGGATCCATGGTGCTGGTATATATGCTAACATAAAGGGGGTATATTGATGGGATCCATGGCACACCATATATAGCAGCACCATGGATCCGTCATGGGCTATAGACCTGTTCGTTTTGAAGTCAAAACACAAATGACGTCAAAACATGTTCTGCAACGGAGCTTTGATGGACTTTGGGGATTGAAGTCTTTTGTGGTGCTTTCGGGACCCGGGGGGAAGTTGGTTGGTTCTTTGAAAGCGCCAGTCTTTGCTGGACGCGCTCATAGCAAAGTTGATGCCATGGATTAAATCTGATTGATTATAAATTGATAATTATATATAATATATAGATACAATATGTAGTATATAATAAATTAATAAATAAATATATTTAATTATATATATACACATGCTTTGATATCGAATTTGTGTTTGAATCTAAAGCCAATGAAAACGATACATAGCTTTGCGTTTGCACCCCTTAGTGGTCTATTCCCATGTTATCCGATGTTTATTGTCGCCCAGTCAGTATGCATCATCTATTTGGAACATGTATCAACATTGAAACCAAACATACCCAAACACTAGCAAGTTTTGCCCAGATATACCAGCACTGCGGAGCATATGGGCAAAACCTTTTTATAAAATATGGGTATGGATCAATACCTATACATTCCATTTTTAGGGGATGAACATCCATTTACCAGCTATTTTGATGTTCACCAGGGGTACAAGGTTTTGACACACTGCCATATCTTTGCCATGTTTAAGAGTCCAATGTCTTCCTACATTGCTAGGTGCAGCAATCCAATTGCCGTGAGATGTTGCCCCCACATAGCGCTCGAGCTATGTGGCTGGATCCGGGTCGGGGTGGAACTGGTGATGCTGGTGTGGAGAGCCGCAGATGGACATGGAAAGCAGAATAGTTCGAAAGATGAAATGATGGTATACAACCAACAAAAAGGTCTTCTGTGATACGTTATAGTTGGCAATTTTAACACTAGTAGAAAGGTCTAAAAATTCTACATTCATCGTCCAATATCTTACATGATATTCTAATATATTCTATGTGTTCATACCAACCTTCTGGGACATGCCCTTGGCTGCCCTGGCCCTTTTCAATTTTGACATCAAAGTTTGACCCATCAAACAACGTCGGTCATCAATGGTCATGGAGTCACACTGGCACCCCGGCGACAGCGCCGTGGCCAAAGGGCGGGGTCGTACTTTGCGACTGTCCGCGAGACGGCAAAATGCCGGTCATAGGGTCGACCCTTTGAGGTGGATGTGGGGGTGACAACATTCAATAAAGTGAGATTGTGGATATGGGGTCAAAGATTGGGGGGTACCTCAAATCATCCATCAAAAAATATTAAGAGTACATTTGGAGGATATTTGAGATATTGAAACATGGAATCCCTATTATTTTTCAGAGATATTATCCATCAAATCATCCATCAAAATTATTTGGAGATATTTAAAAAAGTGGCAAACCCAGATGATCCCGGATGAAGGGTGGAACAACTTGCTACAACGTGTCATTGGATGGTTTAACGGAACCATTACAAGACCCCATATATTTGATGGGATAAAAGCGATGGATTTCTGTTTATAGATGTTGAATTAAACATCCCCCCCTTTATAAGCCTGGAATATTTTTTTTTGGGGGGTAAGGCAAGAAATTTCTTAGAAATATTTCACCTGACCACATGAAATATACCACCCCCACGTGTTTTTTGGGCTTCCAAAAGACGTGGGGGGGGGGTTCCTCCGGAAGTAGCTTCCACCAGACACTGGAGAGAGTGAACTTGCCAACCAACCTTCAAAGCTTGACATTTGGAAGTAGCTTCCACCAGACACTGGAGAGAGTGAACTTGCCAAACAGCCTTCAGAACTTGACATTCAGCCTTGAATTCAACCACGCCCTGGAGAGACCATTATAAACCAGAAATTTTTAGCTGAAATATTTCTAGGTGTGGGGGGGGGGGACCACCCCCCCCCTTTTTGAAATATTTCAGTTTTTACCCCCCCCACCCCCCCTTAAAGGCGGGGGGATAATTAAACCAATCCAATGAATGTGGAACTGGTTCAAAGATGTTAAAAGCGTGATTTGAGACCATTGAGTAAAGCCGTGTGCCTAAAACATCACCTGCGGGTTGACGTCAATGTGAGGCGCTGCGAATGGTGATGTAAAAAATGGGGGGTGCGCCAGTGATGAGTTGAGATGAGATCGACCGTCCCGACATGTTCGTAGCTGTACCTCCCCTAGGTCCCAGCTGTGAGCCTCAGCATGTCTCACCTTTGAATGGATTCATTGGAAAAGCAACTGGGTAGTTCAGCACAGATCACAGAGATTGATCAGTGACAAAACCAACTGGCTTTTGTTAGGTTATCTAGCTAGATTAGATATGGATAGATTTGGGTAAAGATGGTAATACGCATGTTTTTTGGCCCCCCTGAAGTTGATGATTGGCTCACAAGCCGAATCGGACGGTTTCATGTCACGTCAGGATGGAAAGTCAATTGTTTTCCCGGTAAGATTTGATGGCTTCATCCACCAGAGTTGAAAGAGTTTTGTACATTCGGCACTAGTTCCAACATTCTGTAAAACACACATTTCTATATATCTGGGTAAATTATAACGACCTCACTGCGACCTCACTGGAATCATGGTTAATAAGGGGAATCATCCCCAAATGGCCTTAAGTCAGGTTAGTGACACATTATAATTTGCCCAGAATATATGTATATACACAGTAGAATTGCAATTAGTTGTAGCATGTTGGAAAACATGTTGGCACATGTGGGAAGAATCTTGAGCAACTGAGCTTTTTTCATGGGATAACATTGCCAGTCGACCCCTTGGCTTCGCGAAGCAACGCCCATGGTGTCGACAGAGTTGTGTCCTGGTCAACAGAAAGGTCGGTGGTTGACATGTTTTGACCCTCCATAATATCAAGGAATCCAACATGGGTAATGTAGCCAATCAAAGTGACTCTACATGATGTTTCTATCGCGTGGCCATAGAAATTTTGAACCAGCAACCCTGGGGTTGGGTATAAGTTTTATCAGTTTTCATGTTCCCCAAAGAAAAGTGTTCAAATAGATTAGATCATTTAGATCCTCAGGTTCAGAAGTTAGGGCTGTTGTTAAATTTGCCTCAAAAAATCACAGAAAATCCCAAGTTCATCAATACTTTCCAACAGAAATTCTATACCCATAGGATCCATGGTGCTGGTATATATGCTAACATGACTGGGGTATATTGATGGGATCCATGGCACACCATATATAGCAGCACCATGGATCCTATGGGATATATATATAGGTCGTTTGGCTCGACGCGGGTCAGCTCTCCTGGTGAGTTGACCCGAGGTGTCGCAACTTCGTTTTTCGCGGCCGTTGTGGCTACGCCTCCTGCTGCTTCTTGCACGATGAGGCTGCGAGGTGCCCAGGGGGTTCCGCGACATCGTATGGACCAGGTGCCAAGTGCCAAGGTTAAAAGGATTGTATATTTTTTAGGGGTTGGAGAAGCATTACTATATGTGTACACTGTTTATATACACATATATCATATATATATAATATTATATAATTATATAATATTATATATACAATATATATATAATGTTAAATAATGTATCATATTACCATACTGGCGGATGACCATCCCCCCCTATACATTTTTTTTTAATGGCCCAATAGGAGGACTCCCAATATGGGATTGATGATTACAACCGTTGACAATTTCCCTGATTTGCTCTCTGTGAATTCACTGGAGGTTCAAATCGACGTGACATTGTAGGTTAAAATCGATTAAATTCGATGATCATCATTTATGTAAAATCCGTGGATTTTTGTTAGATGATTGATTTGAATCCAAATTTACTGGGGGGATTCTTACCAGATTCCAGATCATGCCGCATCTACATTCCAGGATTTTTACTCAAAAATTACAACAGTGTGTGGACACCTTGGATTTTATGATTTCGATAACATATCCAACAGGCTCAGTGGGAAGGGGTCTCTACATCTGGTCTCCCGGATTAATCCATCATGTCCTGCGACATGTCCAACTGACGGTGGCACTCAGCGGCCTGGGGCATGGAATTCTTCGTAGCTGAAAATTCAATGGCTAAAACTGATGGCAAGAAACCTGTTGGTTTTTGGACAGTTGTACAATTTCTTGGTCTTAAATATCGGCCGCCACCCTTGCCTAGCCTGGTTTCTCAGGCAGCAGGTGAAACCACCTGCAGCGGAGCCGCCAAACAAGTCGGTGGCAACCAGTAGCCTTTGGTGACCCTGACGAGTTGTTTTTCGAGGTAACTGGTTGCTGCTTGCGGAAAAGGTGACCAACAAGACTTGCTTGGAATATAGCAATATTTTGTGTTATTTCATTAGTCATTATGTGTCCCACAAACACGGGGGATAACTCAAAACCTCTGACATCCTGCAAACAATTAATAGATTAGGGGTATCATAAAGCATGGAGAAAGAAAGGAAATAAAAATAAAGAACCGTGTGTCAATATCTATTATGCCATATGAATGGGGTGAAGTGAACTGATCAGTGCCAGGCGAGCAGAGGAAACCATGCCGGATGCCAGCGCCAACAAAATGCCGGCCAGCATCCGCTACTTGTTGGACGGCGAGCCGCTTGGATGACGGCATTCTCTTGGGATTTTTGGGTGCCCCTCAGAAGGGAACCTAAACGGGAGGGTGAATCCTAAATTTCTAAACTGTGACCGCTGGTTCCCATGCCCATATGCTCCATGTATGGAATATTTACCTACATTTACCCCAAAAATGGCCCAAATGTAGGTACATATTCCATACATGAGCATGTGGGATGATATTCCCATGCTATTCCGTTCATGTTTTCAGTTGTTGACCTTTCAGACCGGGATGATGAACCCTCCATATTTTTGGGCCGAATGGCGCCTCCAATTTGCTGGCCCAAGGTCCGTGCAGCGAAATCCCTATTTGAAGGAGGCGAGTGGTAACCACGAGGACATAAATTGATGAATAGATCATTCCTTATTTTACTGTGGTACTGTGGATATTCCTCTATATGATATTTTGCTATGGATATATGGATATTTTACATTATTTTAATAAATATTACTTTGGATGATTGTGCTACAATTTTCTTGATGTCATGTAGCTGACAATCGAAGGAGTACTGGACCGCAGGTAAACGTATTCAGGTTCACGATGGATCCACACTCTATACTCAGCCCCTAGGAAACATTTCTCAGTTCTACGGCTGTACAGGGGAAAGATCCTGCCAGGAGGGTTGCTGGTGGAAAGAGCTGACAGAAGCGACCCATCACCCATCAGATTGCTGTCACATGTTGTCACATGAATGAATGGGTATGGACACTGTAAAATCGCACAAATCATCCATGATGCTATATCTAAGATTATCTAAGTCTAAATCCCCCAAAGTTCAGCCACAAACAGTGCTCCTAATTTTAACATCACCCCCCCGCTATCCAAAGAATGATGATCCTCAGGAACTTGAGTGTAAATCCCTCATTTTCAGACGCAAATCATTTGTGGGGATTCAACGTGATTCAACCAATCAATAAGAAACTTAGAGGATTTCCGGAATATAACTAACAAATACCAATATACTGAACATACTTTGCCAATTTTTGAATTAATCTCAAACTCACCGTGTTTCGCTGCAGTTTTCGGGTGCTCCTTGGCTGCCGCGGCTTCTGGCTGCGTGCGGGGTCCAAAAATCAGGGGTCCAAAATCGTGCGCACCAAACACGAGTCAAGGCAAATGTTCGCCAAAAGTTCAATCTGAGCAATGTTGAAGATGGATCCAGTTTAATGTGGGCAACGCTGCCATTAACAACTAGCATTTGGGGGATGGTTCATACCATCCATTATTGGGTTTACCACATTCTAACAGGTTTGAAAAATGATGATTCAAGGCTGTCCCCAAAACGACCATGTTTATCCATTTTTCGGAGGCCTGCATGCAGTCGCCTCTTCAACGTGCAGGGGAAACGTTTGCGAAAAGAACTGACCGAGGCCCTCGGGGAACTGCTATGGATGGTGATTGCGGCTATGGGTGCTGCAAATTCTTACAATTCTTCACCCAATTAGCCAAATTGGAGGGCTGAAGTAAGGTTAAGAACGAGTAAGTATGGTGGTGTGGTTGAGTATCAAGGTGATCCTGCCTGAGTTCACTGGTTCCACATTTTGGGATCATCATGTCAACTACCATGACTGGGAATGGTAAACAAACCACCCATAGAAATGGTGCTGACTTGGGGATGGTTTATGAATTTGGGTTTACCACATTACTTCTGCAGACTCTAATTGTTCATAATTGGGTAGGGGTCAATACCTATAGATACATTTTTAGTGGGATGAACATCCATTTACCAGCTATTTTGATGTTCACCAGGGGTACAAGGTTTTGACACACTGTCAATTGTTCGTAGGAGCAATGATGATCAGGAGCGGAGAACGTATGACAATCGGATACACACGGACTGAGGATGACTGAGGAAGTACCTAGTACCATGTAATACCTCCAACTTGCCTCCAACTAGGCTTGTGCACTGTGACGGTGGAGCACTCACCACACCAATTTCATGTAAGCAAAAGAGCATCGAAAGAGCAGTGTCCCACGACCCCGGTCAACCATGATTCCTCAGGGTCCTACTGTTCGGTTTCGATATGTTTCGAGAATATTGATCCAGTTTATTCCAGTTTTGTCCAATGTGGGGCATGATGATCCATGATTCATGAAATGATGACTATGATGAGTGTAGTCTAATGATTACTGTAGGACTTCACTTGGTCTCACCAGTATCATCATTATCATCCCGTCGTCCCTTTTTTTTTTGGGAGGCCTTCGGCCTGTTGCACGCTTGCAAGAGAGCCTTGAAGAAGCTTCAGGCACCGAGTCTGGCACCGATTCCCTCCGTTTGGGGATGGGTCAAAACGGTCATTTTTTCCATTCAAAACCTACCATTTTTTTGGGGGAATCACATGGAATCACTATCCATATCTATCCATTCAGCTAGTTTAAGGTACCGATGCCAGGGTTTTGACTTGCCATATATGAGCTTCCCGGCCAGAACATGTCAACTTCTTGTGATTCATATAGAGGTTATTTTCTGAACAGCACTTGCCACACGAAGATGAGATAAATATGATGGGCTTGTCTGAAAATTGGGTACTCTTATTACCATAATTCATCATACTTTTCCCCACTATGTGATTGCTGTCTCAGGGGTATAGCCATATTTTGGGGATGTTCACCAAGTTACCAAAGCGTTGACCCTTTCAACCTTGTTGCGAACGGTTCTTCTCCAGGAAAGCCTTGAATCTACACACGATGAAGGACCCGGAAGAACACAATTTGGAGTACTGCACCACCAAAAACATACAGGAACTATATTGTTGGACCGAATAAACACAAGTGAAAGGGTAATCAGACAGCTCCACTCAACTTGGCTCGTGAATTCTGAGGGAAATCTTTCGTGGACACGGGCTTTAGGATTGAGGAAACGCTGTGAGTTTGTGTCAGACCTTCCGGTTGTTTCTATCCCCATTTCATGGATGATCAGTGACCCTGTGTTTAACCCATGTCTTCAATCCACAGGACGAGTTCAAATGTGATGTTTCGCGTTTTTTTCGGGTGAGTGAACTATTACAATCATTATCATCCATTATCATCCATTAAATCAATGTTTGTCAATCTCTATGTTGATCATCTATGATCATCTATGAAATGTACGTTGATCATCAACATTTACCCAGATGAAAAGAACTTGGCCCAGCCGTAACTTTTGTTGGTGAGGACGTGGCGTGACCATTGTGGACTTGTGCTGTGGAAAGGGCTTCAGCAGCTTAGTGCCATGGCCATGGCCATGATGTGTTCCCATGATCCAAGATAGGTGCGTCTGAATATGTGGATGTGGGTCAAAATGGAAGACCTAGGGGACCACAGATGTTAGTCTAGTTTAGTATTAACCATCCAATTATTGGGGTACCTAATTTTGACCCATACCCATGTATGAAAATATGGTTTTATAATGCTTTATACCCCTAGAATGGTTATTTTCCTATTCCTAGGAAGAACTGTGATGAACTGTGAAATTTTGCGGTAGCCAACTTGTTTCTAGACCAAGCCAGAGACACTTAGTCCCAACTGTTTAGATGATGACTTAATGGAACTGCAAGTGGCAAACAGTGGCATTCGAACTGGCAAAATTGGGTGGGTATGGTTTGTTTTGTTCTTGTGTTTACTGCATTGTCCTAATAGTTGCTTTCCCAAATTTTGAAAATTGGCTGGCTGCTTCAGGGTCACATATCTTGTGTCTTTTGCTTTGCATTTGCTTCGCTTGTGACTCCGCCGGACCGTTTCCAAAACATCTTCAAAACACAAGACGCAGTTTTGTAGTTTGCGACCAAAATTGAAAGTATAAACTAAACATAACTAAACTATTCCTAAAAGTAAACTAAACAGAACTAGTTACTATTCCTTGTTTAAGGTTGTTTCGTTGGTTGTTGTTGGTACATAAACATTGCAATAGACATGAGCTGTAAATGATCCTCAAGGCTCCCTCGAATCCGATTGCAAATGGGGTACCCCAAATTTTGCCCGCCATGGAATCCATGGATAACTCTCCTATTTTCAAAAAAAAAACAATCCCATTATATGATAAATGACCATATCAATATATATATATATATTATATATATATATATATATATTCAACAACCATATTAATATATGGGTGTGTCTGAAAATCGAGAAAACCCCTAAACCCAATGGTTTTGCTGATCATTATCCCCCAAAAAAATGGCTATTTCATTGGGAATATACCCTATTTTCAGACAAACCCATATGAATTATATGTTGTTGGATACATCATCTTACATCCCCATGGTATTCCCATGATATCCCCATTGAGTCCCAGCATTTTTTTTGGTAATCTCACAGAATTGGATGATGGGAAAAATTACAGGAAACCCATATATATATATTGATGCTAAAAACCATCGTTTCCGGTTCAGATTTTCCCCAAAAAATCAATCCATGGGGAAATCCACCTTTTTTCTTGGAACATCCCTGGATTGTTCCAGGTCTTGGCATGCTCCATGCCGCAAGCCAACGTCCTGGCAGTGGACCGCAACGCCAAGATGGACGGGGCGGAAACGGGGCGGCGTTCCGGGGTTCCCCACAGTCATGGGGGTACCCCAAGAGCTAGATGGTTCATTTCTATGGAAAAAGCACTTAAATAACATGGATGACTGGGGGTAGCCTATTTTAGGAGACCTCCACAGAAAAAATTGCCCATGGTGGATTTTCCAGAACTATATTGCTTTGCTCGAGGTTGTTTTTTGGGGGTGTCAAGTTGTCAAGACGACTTTTCGGTGATATAAAACAAGTATACACCAACACCAACACCTTTCTTGGGTTAAAAACATGATACATGATGTGACATGATGATTTGTTGGAGGCTCGAGAAAACAACCTAGTGTTCTTTAGAGATTGAACATCAGTTACTTGCAATGGTGGTTGAAATGACTAAGAAGGTGAACACCTCAACAAATGATGTCTTTAAAAACAGACAGAAACTATAGAGAAAACACGTTTGTTGTTGGGGGATTACAAAAGATAACGCAAATGCACGATATCAAGTAGTTGGAATCTAGATATGACCCGCATATGATTGTTGTTGAGTGATTATTGATGATTATTGTCTATTGTATTCCCGTTTGAATCCCTGGATTGTCAAATCTTCACAAAATCCTACAGATGGTCAAACTCTTCACACACCAAACGCTACAGATGGGCGCCCAAATAGGTCCGAATCCCTGAAACTGCGATTCTTGGTGATGTAAATTGCACGTGCAATTTTTGACATATGTGTCGACCTTTCGTATTTGGGGCGTGGAAAAGGGAACGGGACATGGCGATCAAAACGCGTTGGCTGTGAGGACCTCTCGCACTTCAATGTTTGCGAGAACCTGCGGTTTCAGCATATGGACCTGGTCGAAGCCCCAGAGCGGAGAAAAGATAGAAGAACTCATTGGAAAAAAACTAGAAATGGGTGGTATACACAGTATACACATGTATACACAATAAAAAAATCTGGTAAATCTGGTAAACCCATCTTTAAAATCACTAGTTTTATGGGTGGTATAAACATGTATAAACCATCCCCACATGGAGGTTGTTTTGGCATATTGTTTTTGCCGTTGTTGTCGCGATAATAGGACTACACACACTTGAGCAAAAATATAGAAAACAAATATATATATATATATACATATAAAGATCAAGCCTTTCTGGGGCAGGTCCTACCAAGACCTCGTTCGCAACATACCCATGGCACTGTCTCGCCGTGGGAATTTGTCCCCAGAGCAATGCTTTTCTGTGCAGCGGATCATGACATAGAGTTTTTTTTTCCGCATCCAGATAGGTCCCTATACATGTTCTCCTTGCACCACCAGATATGTCTCCAGGAGACACAGCATGCCTCTTCAAACAGGAGACACAGCGATTGACTGGCGCCTGATGGCCACACCACCTTGAGCGTCTTGCCAAGGAATCCCCCAAGCTGGCTACAGATCTTGTCTGGGAGCACAGGGGCGCTGATGGTCAACTCCCCAATTGGTTGATGGTGACGGGATTATGCTATGTTGATTCTCTGTAGCAACATGCGCACTAAACATCCCTAAACATGACACTGGTATGCAGTCAACTATCTCCATTGTGTCAGAGAAAAAACTGATCTAGAATCTAGATAGCTTTCTGAGCAGAGTTGGACTATTTGTTTCTCATTGCAGAGACAAGTCGGGTGTCATTCAGAACATGCAACTGATTTTCTAGCCCTTCTGCTGAAAGACTTGCACGGCTTGACTTGCAAGATTGGGAGTGGCTCAACCACCAAACAGATCAACTCCTTTTGTCCAAGGCTGCTACTTTGGATGGGTCTTCGAGCTAAGCTCAGCGGCCCTGGGATGTTTCGAAAATCCACGGGATACCCGATACCAACTCAGGGCGCTTTGGACATCTCTGGACCTTGTCAGGGCAATCATAGTCTGGTGGTTTCAACGATTTTTGAGGGGGTTGAAACATGTTGAAACCACCAAGCAGTTCTGGTTGAGGCAACCTGTTGAGGCATTGGGTCAGCCAAGCTGGCAGACATGCAGAAATTTGAATTCAGCCATGACCATTTGTCCCATTTTATGGACGATCGACGCACTAGTCAATAGGGACTGCTCATTTTCTAGGGTCTGGAAACAAGCAAGGTACGCCAAAATTCCATTGTTTCTTATCATTCTCCCTATCAAGAGATCCAGTGGTACACCCATTTCGGGAATGACAGAAGGGTATCCCAAGAGCCTTCATTGATTTCAAGTGGAGTCTAGCCGCGATTGAGGTTGGTTTTGCTGGTTGGAGTGCACCTTTGTGGTATGTTGTCCATCTATGCAACTCGACTCTTCAAGCAGGTGCGAATGAATGCCAACTTTCACTCAACTGGTGCAGCTTTCAAATCAATCCTTGAATTTCAATGATTGGTGAGTTTTTTTCCATCACCAAATTGGTGTATGTAGTTGGCTGGCGGCTTGTAGAACGCCGCCAGCTTTCGTGTGCTTTCGTGCCTGTGGGGTGGGGTGGGGTGGGGTGGCTAATAGCGTCTTGTTCACACTGCTTCTAACCCGCTCTTGCTGCTACGCTCTTCACTTCTTGTGGGGTGAGGTGGGGTATGCTATGCTCTTCACTTCTTCATACCCTCCATTGCGCACCATTCCCCGGCATTTGTCCCAGGCCGTGGGAACAATGTATCCATCGCCAATTGATCCGGTTTCCTTCGCAAGATGAAGGGAAATATGGGATCCAAGCTTCACCCCGAGATCGACACACTGGTCAAACAAGGGTTGTACAGAACGTGGGCACCTTCCTGAGCTCCAAATGATGTCTATAGAAATTGAACTCAAGTCCTGAAACGCATGGGAAACAAAGACTTGGAAGTCTGACACAAAGAAATTCAAAAAAAAATATCGCAGGATTTAACAGAGTCAAAAAAAAGGACCCAGACACAAATCCTTGAGAAAACACACGCAAAATGAACTCGCCACGGTTGGAAAAACATGAAAAACAGGCGGCGTTCTGTGAGCTGCTTACCATGTAGTTTCATAACCCTTCGCCTGTGTGCCCGGAAAAACGTGGAACAGCCCTGTGGGATCTCTATAAAACAGAGTTTGTCTCAAAATAGCCTTAATTCCACTGGTTCATCACGATGCTGAATGCATAGAATGTGGATGAATGTGTTGTATCGCGGTATATTAGCGTTGTATTGCGGACACACCAAATCATTCTTGTGCTGTATATCATATATTGTAGGTCATTGTTGGTTCGTTAAATCCCGGCCGTCCAACTAAATTCAGGCAATATCCATCAATGTCCCATGTCTCCATATAATTCCATATACCTCCATTCAGGTCGCTTAATTTTCAGACACACTCAAAGCGGTGTTTATCATTTGTTCCATAAAACATCTTCCTTTCATGATATTTTCCCATTACCCATTCATGCCCATACACATCATGCTGCAAACAACATCCCAGAAACTGTTTGAAATCCAAACGAAAACAGCACCAGGCACAGTCCGAAAAGATGTTTGGAGCCATAGGATAGTTCTCCAGAGATTTCATGGCTGGAAGATAGGTATATATATATAAATATAGATAATGATAGATAAATAATGGTAAATATATACTATTATCCCCGGTTCCATAATATCGATCCATATATGGATAGATTAATATTATATATATAATTATATATATATACATATATATACTATCCCGGATATCCCAATATATCCAATATATCCCAATTTATCCCCATTCTTCTTGGTGAAATCTCCAACTTCCACTTTCTCGGCCGCAGATGACCTGCCCATCGGCCCTTATCCTGGCCCCGTGCTGTTTGGACAAGCGGCTGCCAGGTGCTTCGGTGTCAACGGTGGTTATTATGGTTTAATATAGTCTAATATGGTCTTATATGGTTTTATATGGTTTTATACGGTTTTTCATAGTGAGAATAATAGAGGATAAGAATGGGATACGAATGGGATACGAATGGGATAAGAATAGATTTACCATGATTTACCTTTCGGTGTCATGAAAACGTGGCTAGGAAATCATCGAACTGAACGGGGACTTTTTTGCCGTGCGCCATGAAAAAGGGTTTTTACTAAGATGGCCGTGGAAAACCCTTTTTTGGGGAACATGATCTACATTCAAGGTGGTTTTTTCCACATCCATGTATAGAAACGTTTACTACGGAGCTTCGCTGAAATTCATTGCTGGGACCGCACAATTAGGGCAAAGAGGCCTCTTTTCCTACATGAGGATTTTTTCCATTTTGGTGATGCATTGTACATCATTTTTTTAGACACACTCTTATATCTTATGATCTTCGCCCAAGTGGCATCCAAGAATATGATGTGAATATGATGTACATGTGATGTAAACATATAATGTTTGCGTCTGATTAGTGTGAGGGCCCCCCCCCCCCAAACAATTTGAGGATACTCTATAACTCGCACTTTTTTTTGCCCCCCCTCAACTTTTTTTTGGTCAATCAACTTAAGAAAGGATTTCAATTTACTTTCAATTGATTTCAATTTACTTCAATTGATTTCAATTTACTTTTAATTTACTTTCAATTTACTTTCAATTGATTTCAACTTACTTTTAATTCACTTTCAATTTACTTTCAATTGATTTCAATTTACTTTTAATTTACGTTCAATTTACTTTCAATTGATTTCAATTTATTTTCAATTTACTTTCAATTTACTTTCAATTGATTTCAATTTATATACTTTTAATTTAATTTCAATTGATTTCAATTTACTTTTAATTTACTTTCAATTTACATTCAATTGAATTCAATTTACTTTCACTTGATTTCAATTTACTTTTAATTTACTTTCATTTTTTTTCACTCCAAAAAGTTGGTGTTCACAATAGAGTACCATCCAAACAATTATATTATTGAGTAACTGAGCCACTCATGAGGTACACCCTTGAAAAATTGTCTGGATGCTGTTTTTTAATAAGGGTTTAATAAGGCATCTAATTATTTGGGAAACCTTGCATTTTAAAGTTTTATCACAACTATGGCTTTCTAAAGTGAAAGGACCAGCTTTACCCAAAGAAAGGTGGAGAAAGGGTTTCGTTTTTTTTTTCACTCCAAAAAGTTGGTGCTCACAATAGAGTACCATCCAAACAATTATATTATTGAGTAACTGAGCCAATCATGAGGTATCCCCTTGAAAAATTGTCTGGGTGCTGTTTTTTAATAAGGGTTTAATAAGGCATCTAATTATTTGGAAAACCTTGCATTTTAAAGATTTAACACAAATATGGCTTTGTAAAGTAAATGGACCAGCTTTACTCAAAGAAAGGTGGAGAAGGTTTTTGATTTTTTTCAACCCCAAAAGTTGCTTGGCACAATAGAGTACCATCCAAACATTCATATTATTGAGTAACTCAGCCACTCATGGGGTACCACCTTGAAAAATTGTTTGGATGCTGTTTTTTTAATAAGGGTTTAATAAGGCATCTAATTATTTGGAAAACCTTGCATTTTAAAGCTTTAATACAAATATGGTTTCCTAAAGTAAATGGACCAGCTTTACTCAAAGAAAGGTTGAGAAAGGGTTTTTATTTTTTTCCAACCCCAAAAGTTGTTGGGCACAATAGAGTACCATCCAAACATTCATATTATTGAGTAACTGAGCCACTCATGAGGTACCACCTTGAAAAATTGTTTGGATGCTGTTTTTTAATAAGGGTTTAATAAGGCATCTAATTATTTGGAAAACCTTGCATTTTAAAGCTTTAACATAAATATGGCTTTCTAAAGTAAAGGCACCAGCTTTACTCAAAGAAATGTGGAGAAAGGGTTTTGTTTTTTTTTTTCACCCCCAAAAGTTGGTGCTCACAATAGAGTACCATCCAAACAATTATATTATTGAGTAACTGAGCCACTCATGAGGTACCCCCTTGAAAAATTGTCTGAGTGCTGTTTTTTAATAAGGGTTTAATAAGGCATCTAATTATTTGGAAAACTTTGCATTTTAAAGCTTTAACATAAATATGGTTTTCTAAAGTAAAAGGACCAGCTTTACCCAAAGAAAGGTGGAGAAAGGGTTTTGTTTTTTTTTTCACTCCAAAAAGTTGGTGCTCACAATAGAGTACCATCCAAACGATTATATTATTCAGTAACTGAGCCACTCATGAGGTACCCCTTTGAAAAATTGTCTGGATGCTGTTTTTTAATAAGGGTTTAATAAGGCATCTAATTATTTGGAAAGCCTTGCATTTTAAAGTTTTAACACAACTATGGCTTTCTAAAGTAAAGGGACCAGCTTTACCCAAAGAAAGGTGGAGAAAGGGTTTTGCTTTTTTTTTTCACTCCCAAAAGTTGGTGCTCACAATAGAGTACCATCCAAACAATTATATTATTGAGTAACTGAGCCACTCATGAGGTATCCCCTTGAAAAATTGTCTGGGTACTGTTTTTTAATAAGGGTTTAATAAGGCATCTAACTATTTGGAAAACCTTGCATTTTAAAGCTTTAGCATAAATATGGCTTTCTAAAGTAAAAGGACCAGCTTTACCCAAAGAAAGGTGGAGAAAGGTTTTTTTTTCACTCCCAAAAGTTGGTGCTCACAATAGAGTACCATCCAAACAATTATATTATTCAGTAACTGAGCCACTCATGAGGTACCCCTTTGAAAAATTGTCTGGATGCTGTTTTTAAATAAGGGTTTAATAAGGCATCTAATTATTTGGAAAGCCTTGCATTTTAAAGTTTTAACACAAATATGGCTTTCTACAGTAAAGGGGCCAGCTCTACCCAAAGAAAGGTGGAGAAAGGGTTCTGCTTTTTTTTCACTCCCAAAAGTTGGTGCTCACAATAGAGTACCATCCAAACAATTATATTATTCAGTAACTGAGCCACTCATGAGGTACCCCCTTGAAAAATTGTCTGAGTGCTGTTTTTTAATAAGGGTTTAATAAGGCATCTAATTATTTGGAAAAAACCTGGAAAAAAACTAAAATTGAAAAAATATTATTTTTTTTAAAAAAATAAATAACAAATTAAAATAAAAAATAATTGAAAACATAAAAAAATAATAAAAACACATGAAGTACTCTGGAAAAAATCTAAAATTGAAAAAATAAAAATAAAAATAAAAAAAATAATAAAATAAAAAATATTTGAAAAATAAAAAATAATCAAAAAAAAATGAAAAAATCTGAAAAAAAATCTCACAATAGAGTTCCCCCCCAACAATTAGCATGTGACTGAATTAGGAGCAAGAAATTTCTCACAATAGGGTACCATCTCTTTAATCATTCCCAAACATTATTAGATATATCATATATTAAAATATGTTTTTCGTCGAATTTAAACACATTACAGCCTTTCCATGAACATGTCTTTTCCTGAGATGCAAAAACAGGGTCAGCAACATGGAGTTGGTCTGAAAGCAGGTTATCCCCAAATTTACTGGTTAAATCATATGTTTTTCCTTAAATGTCATAGTATATCATAGTATATCCATGTATATCCCATGTTTAGACATTCCAAGTGACATTTAAACATGCATTATATATATTATATATATATAAGTTTATGTATATCTGGTTGGTGGTTTGGAACATTTTTTATTTTCCATAATATATGGGATAATCCTTCCCATTGACTAATATTTTTCAAGATGGTTAAAACCACCAACCAGATATATATATATATATGTAGATAAATCCAGAATATCTCCATTTCATGATGTCTCCATTTCTGGTTTGCCCTCTATGAGGTATCAAGGAACGGGCCAGACGTCTACGGTTGAATCCATACACCTACTGGTGCCTGACATTGCTGATGGAGGATCCGGTTTTTTTCAGTAAGTTAGGATACTGTAATGTCGTGTAGGACCTGGGGTTCCAGAACCAAATCGGACACATCTATATAATTGATGTCTGCATCCGTAAAATACACTTTGCCTTCAAACGGCTGAAGAAAAACTCTTCTCATATATCTAGTATATTCCAAAGGGTGAAATTCAACGGCGATCAACGACGCAATCCGGAAGTGACTTGAAACGTGCCTTACATGTGCCAGGGAAACTATGGTTTCGGCCGTTGAAACTGCAGAGATTTTGTTGCAGTGATCTCCTTAGGGTGATCGTTGCTGATATCAGACTGAAGAACCGGAGAAAAATATGTTGTAATGATTCTTGGTGATCTACGTATATCTATGTTGATCGCAGGAAAAACAAAAACCGCTCTGTAAGTGATCTTGGGTGACCAGTGCTGATTTGAAAAAACACAAACAATTCTATCAATTCTTATGCATCTTGGAACTTTTTTCTAGATGGCACGCCCATGACTCCAATGACCCCCCTCCAGGAGCTTCCCATTTGCAGCACGGAGTCCCGGAAGTTTCGGAACCGTGTGATCCAGTGGGACTGGTGGATTTGGTGATGAGGATCATGTATGAACATCATTGGCATCATCCAAAAAGGGTTCTTCCAATGAAAAACCACCAGCAAAGCTATAGTTTGCGCAGATCTGTTCGCAATTGTACACATGTTTTTTTTTTTGGGTTGCACTGCCCCATGTTTTTCGGCTGATAGACCTCTCACAATCTCCCGGGGGATTGCTCCGCTCCCAGGGCGAGAGCTGCTGCAAGATGATGACGTCTGGTCGGAGCGGAACTCTTTTATTCTGGGCGTGAAAAGCGGCTGAGGCCGGGGTTTGGTGATGGCAGGGGAACGGTTTAGAGCCTGGGTTAAACTTGGGCAAGTTAAATGGTTTTGGGCAAATCATGGTCATAAATAATGCAATATACTGATATATACTGTACTATCTTACATGTAAATTTTCATAATATTTAGTATTACTCCCCCGTGCATGATCCAAGTGAAAAAAAAATAGCATGCTTTGATTCCACTGAAATGGGCATTCAGTGCATCATCCAAGTACTGTGCTTCCGTGATGTTCATGGAAGCACTTCATAGAGGAAAACGTGGCATACTCACAGTGAAATGCCTAGTCATAACAGACTGGCAGTTTGTTTGCATTTAATAGAGGGAATAGTGATGAAATTGAAGGGAGGTTTATATGAAACTGGTTGAACATGGGTGCATGCATTTCATAGGGGTAAACCCTTCGCTCCAGTTTTTCAAGGTATGTGGATTTCAGCAGGATTTTGTGGAACCCCAAGGCTTAAACAAAAAATGCAGTTATTGTGATAAAACAACAAGGTGCGCTTAAATTCCTTAGTTAGCCTTAGTCTTAGCACCGCCCAAAACGCGATTAAAGATGATTAACGTATTTTTCTCCCAACGTCTTCACATTAAAATCTTGGATTCAAAATTACAATTTACATTTACATTGTTTTTTTCATGGCGAACAGCTGTAAATGAGTTTCTTAAGGCTTCGCTTCGCTTCTCAGAAATGGTCCGGATCTTTCTGCAATAGCTTTCTCTTTGAACTGCTGATCTACAGATGGCCAAACACATCCAAACACCCAGAGGGGTCATTTCACATAGTGACGTCTTTGGAATTTGCCGAATGAAACGTATTCAACAGAAACATTGATCACGGGAATTGGAGAAACGCAAGTTTCAAGGCTTTCCAGAAGCCAACATATACACTTCAATTTTTGCAGAAAAAACATATTTCGGAAAGCTTCTTCAGAGGATATCTTCAGCGCAGTGAAACTTAGAAAAGGCAACCCTTTTTTTGGAGAGGGCGTCAATTTTGGAACCTCTCAAATTTCTGGGGTCATTTCTTGTGACCAGTTTACGTCGAATGCGGGGATCTTAGGAATCCCCAGGAGATTGAAACACTGTTGGGTTTTGTTTTGCAGTACATGTGTATTGTACTTGGCTGCATATGTAGCAGTTTATAGTGGTGTATATACAATATAGCTATTTTTGCAGCATAGAATAGGTGAAATACGAGATGAGCAGGAGGCCTTTTTTTAGAAATCTCGAGGGCATTTGTGATCATCCTGTAGTTTTTGATAGTGACATTGTGATTTGGGGAGATCATTTTGACTTGGATTTGCATTTTATAAAGGCATTTTAGAGTGAACTTTCCTGCTAAAAAAAATGCGTTCTTAATGAAATGCCCTGGAAAGACAGGGGGCATACATATCATATATATAAGATTATATATATATATTTATACATACATTTATTAATACATAAATATAAGATATATTTACATATACAGTATATTATATTTATGATACATTATATATATACACTATATATATACACATTAGTAACCGACAAAATTATTGTAATACTAATTTAGTTTTGCTTCGCCTTGGCCTTTCTGAGGTTGCACAAAACCTTCATAACCGATAGGGGACGACCCTATGTATACCGATACCCCATTTGTGATACCTCCGGGAGTACTGAAATCCTCTTCCCACGGATAGGGGATGACCCTAATTTGTGCATGGCTTTAAATTTAACATAGAATTTTGTTTGCTACTCATATGTATATATATATATATATACATGGTTATATATGCGACATGTATTTCATATATATATATATATTATATTCTAATTACTATGTAACCTTGCTAAACATTAAACAAAAAGTAGCTGGATACCCAAGATTGGCCACACTGCAATACATATATGTAATGTAAACTCAGTATAAAACCACTCGTTTCTCAGGATGACGGGTACCATTCCCCCTATGAATGTTTGTCGACATTGCAAGAAGTACCAAAACAAGATGATGGACCAGTATGGATATTTAAAACCAACCATGGTGATAAACATGCAGTGAAACATGGTGAATTTCACTGGTGATGAGTGGGGGATGTATAAATGGTGTGAACTTATGAACCGAATCTAAGCTAATCTTACTATTTTCTACGTAGAAGTTGGTCGATGCTCGCAACCGGCAGTCGTGGCTCTGTCATGGACCTGGTTGTGGCCGCGCAGGACGGGATGGTTGAGATATGTTGAGATATATTCAAATATGAGATGGGTTCAATACTAAACTGCTAACGCTTGGTGGTTGGAAGTATGTTGTCCAATGTTGTTACTTCGTGTCATATAGTTTAATTATGTTTAAAACAATGCAGCGACATGGGATGATGCCCGACAAACAAATTGGCTGAAGTGATCACCTGGCGTAGTCGAAGTCATTTGGTCGGTCCTGGCGGGTCCAGCCATGGATCAATTCGAGATGGGCGTGTCCCTTGGGCAACGGCGCATCCCGCAAACGGCCACATTAAACTGTAATATCTGTAATAGGGAATATATGATTTCATCAGCCGTGAGATTTTGGGTAGCTTGTACTGTATGTGTTTTATTTTCATAGAAACCTGGATAACTCCCGTTGATTCTGCTCTTACAGAGTTGATCATTGATGTCGATTGTTGTTTCGCCAGTGACTTGATGCTGCTATGAAATCACCAGGATTCAGAGGATGGACATCCATCGGTTATCTGTTATCTGCAGATATCTGCAGTATCCCATGGTACCCCCAAGCCACCAAATATGGCCTTGGAATTAGGAGTTGCCCTCTGGTAAACTAAACATAGCTATGGAAAATCACCATTTTTAATGGGAAAATCCACTATAAATGGCAATTTTCAATTGCTATGTTAAATTACCAGAGGGTACTAATTCCGATCAACCCCTATGAATGTGGTTTATTAAGCCCCTAAACGTTGGGAATTAGCAGCATTAGCATTCTTCGATCAGTCGCACAACGACAGGCTCAAGACCATACTTTGTGCGACATCCCTGGTGCACACCGGCACGACTCATCGTGGCTTATGGAGATCCTCGTCTGAGTATGTCTGAGTCTGAGTCGTGGCTGGTGGTGACGAGTATTGAAGGTATGCTGCAGCAGCAGCAGCACCCTAGATGCGGACAACGTGAACACTCCTACTAGCTGCTTTTACTGTTTGTTTTTCCATTCGTTTGTGAACTCCATCAAGAAGTAAAGTTCCAGAATTGGTTTCGGTTCTTGTTTGGGGCACATCTAATCTGTCAACCCAACTTTGTACAAGCTGTTCCTTTCCGACTTTGCCTTGACCGCCTGAACAGCTGTGCATGTAGATTTGGCTTCTTCCAGTGATTTTCCAACTTTGCCTTGACAGTGATCCCTGAGTCCCACCATGGTATGTTGCCATAGAATCTGGCATTTTGGCATGACATATTGACATTCTATATGGCATCTTATCTGACAAATATTTCTTGCATTCTATCTGACATTCTATCTTGACATGCTATCTGACATTTATTCTGACATAATATATATTATATTCCGACATTTTTTCCCTGGCATGGCATCTGGCTTTTTATCTGGCATTCTATCTGACATCTTCTGACATTTTATCTGGCATATCTGGCATTCTTTCCGTCATTCGATTTGGCACTCTCTCCGGCATATACAGTATTCTGACATTTTACTTGTCAACCTTACTGGCATTTCTGGCATTCTGACAATACCTGACTGTTTTACATTGTTTTACCCTCTGGTAAACTAACAGAACTACGGAAAATCACCATTTTCAATAGCTATATATACCCATAGGATCCATGTAAGGTATATATGCTAACATTGGGGGTATATTGATGGTAAATGTTACCATATATGGCATACATGGATCCTATGGGTAGTAGAGTATAATCGATTTTTTTGTCATCATCAAAAATCTAGAAAATCTCACCTGGCGTCGAATCGAATCACCTACCTGATGACCTCAGCCATTTATAGCGCAATTAGTTCGGCCGAAACTCCCTGGCCGCGGGCCGTACGTGCCCATGTTCGGTACTTGGTTCCGCGCTGTTGCCGTCGCGGTGGTCGTGGGGCCATTGCGGCCATGTCTCGCGGAGGACGACTGCTTGGAATGTGATATGAAGATGTTGCAGCTGGATGCCAAGGTGAGCGAATGAAAGAACTGGCCAACCGTGGGTAGAAATACAGTATGTGGGCATGCGAGGTATGTAACATATTGTATTAATTATATATATATATATTTAAAGTAATATGTGATTGTTTTATATGTACCGTAATTAGTGTTTACCACGATTGTTTCTAGTCATGATTGTGATCGTGATTCCCGTTTTTTTGCTGTGAAATGGTTTTATCACGTTCCTCTCCTACCAGGTTTTCTGCATTTTGTTAGTACAGTTACATCTAAGATTGTATTGTATGATACTGTATGTGCCATTCTTTGAAAATGTATTGATAGATATCAAACATGTTGATGCTTTTTTTTTTGTTTGTTTTCATGACTTTGGAACCGGAACAGAACCAAGCGCTTAGATAGAAGCGGCTTCAAACACTGAAAATCTTTCGCGGCTCGCGGCGGCTGGGGCTGTAAAAGTCGCCGTGTGACATTAATGCCTCTTGCAGGGTCACTCTTGCAGGTGGTTGCGATAAAGAGGTAAGACCACCTATCAACTGGTGCAACATTTTGCAAGCATCCAGCGTGTTTCCATTACATAGACTTGTTTTACCTGGTTTGGTTGAACTGTCAAACGTCAATGACAATTGTATGCACCATGTCCAATGTTATGAGTCCAGCAACACAGAGAATGAATATAGGGTTTGACAAAAAAAGCAAAACAAAAAACAAAAACTGAGGAAAATGCAGGTTTTGTTTGTTTTTTCTTGTTTTTTTGATTTTTCTGGTGACTCTTCCTGTCGAGTTGATTTTTTGGTGATTCGGTTTTTGATTGTGTGTGTTTTTTTTCTTCTAAAACCAGCTTTCTCTGTTCTACACGGGGTCATAAGTCTAATGGATTTTTGTTTCATCGTTTCATTGAATAATGAGAAATAACAAACAACACCGCATATGGTAACATTACTATGCCGCAGTACCAATCAAGCATACTAATTATGTAATGATGGTAGGTATGGGGATTTTTACTATAGTGAACTTATTGAACAGGATTAATCAGCAATGTTGATTGATTATGATTGATTCTCATTTGAGCAGTATCCTGAATCAGTTTTAATTATATAAATGTTCACCAAATGTGCCCAAAGTGTGTTTTGCTTATGAATGCCAAGGACGTTTTTTTTTTTTTCGCAACAAGGACATGCGCTGTTGCACCTTTCAACGGAATCATTCGGAAACCTGATTCCAGGCCTTGTTAGGCCGGGAATTATATACTTGAATGCGCAGGATCCAATGATCGTTGTTAAATGACGGCAAGCACAATATCTGTATCTTCGAGGGATACTTAAACCAAAGTCATTGCACTTCTCCCATGACGGATCCATGGTGCTGCCATATATGGTAACATTTACCATCAATCTACCCCAGTCATGTTAGCATATATACCAGCACCATGGATCCTATGGGTCTTATGAACCGGGATGCACATCTAGTGAATCTAGTGGAACCAACCCGTAGAACCAACCAGCTTTCACCGATTCACCGATCCCCAAAACCGCAGTCCAGCGGAATTGGCACAGGTGTCAGACCGCGCCACGAAGAAATTGCTCTCGAATTGTGGGCATTTGACGCAAGAGACCTGCGAGCCTGGATGGAGTTGATTACACTGAGCCATCAAAAAAGATCAAAAAAGTCGTTAGTTGGTTGGATACTCTGGTGGGACAGAACATTTGGGTAAATTACAACGACCTCACTGCGATGTCAAGACGTTAATGATGGTTAGAAAAATGGGGATTACCATGGATTACGGTCTTTTTTGCAGGTTGGTGAATTATTGTAATTCAGCTTGAACACATGTCAAACAAAATACATTAATATAGCATGCATAGACATATATGAAATATTATGAAATGAATGCCTACTAACCAATCAGAAATTCATAGGATGTATGGCCATGTATGGCCAATGGCTAGTTTTGGTTTAGGTTACGAAGATCTTCAGCCTCTTTGTTTTCACCCAGGATCCTCACGCGAACTATCCTTGCAGCAACAACTGCCCCGTTCACACACATGGGCACGACTGTTATCGGCCCGTGCCGGAGGCCGGGCAACCCGGGGAACGGGGGAGGAGCAGAAGATGGGCATTTTCCCGAAACCATTGGAGCTATGGAGTTTCACAATCATATCATATATTGCATTATAAATTACATATATATATATTATATATATATAAATACATGTGTATATGTAAGGGACTTTCGAGAAACTTAGTGCTTTCATGTGCTTTCAACACTTATAGTGTTTTGGGTTTGTGGCCAACACTCTCATCTTTGTATGCTGTCTCAGGCTTGTGGACTGCATGCATTGGCTCTCTCAGGGATTTTCCATATACCATGATTTCCATTTAAGTATAATAGATTAAATTTTTATTACATATTAATATTATATTAATTATATATGATGAAATATAATTTTATTACATATATGATGAAATATAATTTTATTTTATTACATAGTCGTTTTTGTTTTTTGAAATTTTCGGGTTTCGAATTATTTAACGATTGGTGGTTTCGAAGGGAAACCCACTGGATTCACCCAGAAATTGACCCAAAAACAGCTATGGCAGGATGATGTTCATTCCGTTACCAACCTGCCAAACAAGCTCCAAAAAAGCCACAATCGTTTTACATGATCGTTCATCACAAAAAGTGACATAAAATGGGAAGTTTTCGTTGGGCAGTTTTTTCAGGTGAAAGTCTGGAAACCAAAAGGCTGTTGCCCACATGATTCGCCGATAGAAACGTCACATTGCTGGACCATCCCGCAGCCGGCAGCCAGGTGATGGCAGAACATCCCGGTGAGGATGGTGGCTCGGTTTCAGCTGGATGTCCATGGCTGGGAAATTCCTGCTCCAAAAGGTCGAGCTTTTAACGGGAAAAGCATTGAACTCAATACTTTTCCAGCAATGCCATGTTTGATGAGTTTGATGACACTGGAGCTTTTTCTTTCTGTTGCACCCTGAAACACCGATTGTTGAATTTTTGGGCCTGGGTCATCTTGTGCTTGGGTGGGAAGAAACGCATTTTTTTTTGTGAAAATGATGGGACAAGTCGCAAGATCGCATGGTGTACTATCATTTCTCCCATGTAGATTGCAATTTTGTGTGCCCAGTGGAGCGGGTTGATCTCCAGGATATTGTTACTTCAACCAGACGGGTTTCTGGGTCGCTCCCATGCCCGCGGAGCCAGACTTCTTGCAGTCAGCGATCGGGGGGATCTTGACCTTACGCGACTTACCTGTGCCAAAAGGCGCCGGTTATCCCAGCCCGTATCGTGGCCTCCACACAGGTGGCTTGGACTTAAAACGGCCGCAGTGGTGGGATGTGTTCTGTGTATATTCTACCAATATTCATCGATATTCTGCATAGATAATATACATTAATATACAAATATTATACATGCATTATATATAGTGTATAGGTTTTGTGTTGATGTTGATCATAATCAGATTCTGATCCTGATGGTTTTGATTGGGATGTATGTTTTTTGGACCTGGGCACCCTTTTTTAAGACCTGTACATGCTTTTTGGACCTAGAAAAATGTGGGGGACGTGCCTGTGTGTTTTCTGGACCCTATGGGGATTTATTTTTTGGACCTGCATGTATTTGTGCTGGACCCATCTTTTTTTTACACAGCTAAATTAATTGTTTCTGACCTCGGTTTCTGTTTTTTGGACCCATGCGCCTGCTTCGTGGACCTTGACTCCATTGTTATAGGCGCTCACACTGGGCTGGATGTTTTTGGACTTTGGCGCATTCTTTTTTTGAACCTGTACATGTTTTTTGGACCTCGAACAAGTGGGGGGAATTCAGATACTGAGACAAGATGCATGCAAGAAGTTGTTGATGCAGGGGAAGTTCGGATATTGAAACAACAAAAAGGTAAGAAGTGGTGAGGGGGCCAATGGAGGGAAGTCTACATATGAAGCGAAATGAACGCAGGAAAATGAGAGGCACATAGGGGGAAGGGACAGTTCGATATTGAAAAGCTGTTGAGAGATGAGGGGTGAAGCCATTGAAACCAAAAGAAGACACATGCATAAAATTGCTCAGAGACGCGGGGGGAAGTTTTGGGACCAAAACGTGAATGCCGGAAGCTGCTGAGAGGCACAGGGTGGGGGGAATTTAGATATTGAGACAAGATGCATGCAAGAAGGTGTTGAGAGAAACGGGGGAACATGTAGATATTGAAGCCAGATGACCGCAGAAAATTGGTGAGAGAGAGGCAGGTGGGAGAGGGGAAAGTTAGACATCGAAACAAGGATGAGCGCAAGAAGTTGCTGAGACGAGAAGCGGAAGTCTAGATATTGAACCCAAATGACGGTGCATGCAAGAAGCTGTGGAGAGACGAGAGGGGGGAAGCTTTGATATTGAAACCGCATGAATGCGGGAAGTTGCTGAGAGGCACAGGTGGGGGGGACTTTAGGAGGCCACGGGGGAACCAGATATAAAACCAAATGAATGCAGGCAGCCGGGGATATTGAAGCAAGATGAATGCAGGAAGTTGCTGAGGGGCACCGGGGAGGAAGCTTAGACATTATGATATTGAAACAAGATGAACGCAAGAAGTTGTGGGGAGGCTACGGGGGAAGTATAGAAATTGAAACCGAGTGAATGCAGGAAGCTTAGGAGGTTTGATGAGAGGCACATGGGGGGGAAGTTAGTTAGATATTGAAACCAGATGAGCGCAAGAAGTCGTTGAGAGACGAGGGAGGCCGAGATATTGAACCAAATTCATGCAGGAAGTTGCTGGGAGGCACAGGGGTGCAGGAGAAATTCGGATATTGAAACAGCATAAACGCAAGAAGTTGTGGAGAGGCCACCAGGGGGAACGTACATATGAAACCAAATGGATGCAGGAAGTTGAGAGGCACATTGGGGGAAGAGAAAGTTAGATGCGCAAAAATATTGAACCCAAATGACGATGCATGCAAGAAGCTGTGGAGAGACGAGGGGGAGAAGCCTGGATATTGAAACTGCATGAATGCAGGAAGTTGCTGGGAGGCACAGGTGTGTGAGAGCTGTAGAATATTGAACAAGATGCTTGCAAGAAATTGCGGGAAAGGCCAGGGGGTGCCACATATGAAGCCAAATGAATGTAGGAAATTGTTGAGGGGCACCGGGGGTGAAGTTTAGATATTGAATAAGATGAATGCAAGAAGTTGCAGAGAGGCTAGGGGGAAGTATAGATATTGAAACCCAATGAATGCAGGAAATGTAGGAAGTTTGATGAGAGGCACAAGGGGGGAAGTTTAGATATTGAAACCAGAGGAATGTCCCCAAGCGAGGCACTTTCACCCAGGTTGACATCAAGTTGAGCCCCTGCGTAACTGAGAAAGGCCGGAAGAGGGGTGAAAAGTAGAAATTGAGAAGAGGGCAGAAAGGGAAGGAGGCACTGAACCACACAATGTGCTGAAATGCTTCCTGCCATGCTGCATGGTAGCGCAGCTCTAGCCCCCTACTGTCTGAAGAATTGCGACCAAGACGCAGCTTGGAGAATCTACCCAAAGGGGGTCCGTAAGGGGGCGTGGTTTGGGGAAGGGCCAGGTCAAGCAGGAAGGTGCGCAGGTCCAGCAGGAGGATGTGCAGATCCAAAAGAAAGGTAGCCATCCCCAAAAGAATTGTAGTAAGTCCATGCAAAGTGCCCAGGTCCAAAAGAAATGGAACGAGGTCTTAAAAAAAAGCGTTTTCCGTTTTGATTCCTCAACAGAAACTATTAGCGGACATGCTACAGATATTTGGAGTGGAAAGGGTGCTACTGCCATTCCAGCCATGGCGCGGTGTTTTGGAATCGTGCTTGTCTTGACACCAGCTCGGGGCGTCTTGCAAATCTTAATGAGTAACATGTTGATGAGATGTTGATGAACAATTGGATTTAGGTATTATGGTATTCCAATTTTTGACGGAACCCAAGAAAGGGCTGTTGAAATATAACATTTTGTTGTCAAAAAACATTTGAGCCTGCAGAAACCTGGAAATCTTGGGTGTGATTCAGCATTTTAGGCAAGAACATTGACGATAAAAATTGGGTGCTGTACCCTCTGGTAACTTATAACGCAGCTATGGAAGGTCACCATGTTTCATAGGCAAAAGGATGGCCAAGGTAAATCAGCGAACTAAGGTGGTCATCGTAACACCAGAGCCATGTGAAATGATTCTAGGACTCCGACGGACTCCGACAGAAGAAACCGGGTAGCTCCCCGAAAGGATGATTCATGGCCCAAAAACTGACGGCTCAGGTCCTGTGTTGACCTTCCATTTCGAGGGGAAGGTCATCACCACTCAGGCGGATGCTGCTCACTACTCCTATGATGATTCTTAGATTTGCAGGATGAATTATGAATGAGTGTTGTCTGATTTCCCCCAGGTAAATCCAGCATTTGGGGCAATCTAAAGGGAAAAGGTGGGGATAGACCCAGCCATCGCAAAAAATCCATGGGTTTTGATCCAAAAGCCGGCCATGCCATGCCCAGGATTTGTATGGCTACTCCCTGGGCTACTTGCAGGGTCAAGGCTTGAGTATTGACTTGGTACGAAACAGCACTGCCTGGATCGCTGCTTCAAAGCAAAAGTGCGATGAGATTCAGCAGACCTACAACTTCCAAAATCACGAGTTAGTTCTTGCGGATTGGTTGGATTACAATGCAGTCATCGGTGCAAAGGTTTCATGTGCGGCAAAACAGCCTGCTGCGGCTGATTCAGCAGTCTTAGAGAAGGCAAAGTTTAAGAGTGTCGACGATTGTGAGCCAGTGACCGCCAGAGACTTTGCCAAGCATCACTACATCAAGTGCCTCTTGGGATATCCAAACTCGGCATCAGATGGCGCTTATCTGAATGTCCGGGCCTGCTTATTGGATGGAGGAACCCGCATTGGCCACTTTAGTGATTGTCCATTTTCACCAGACGTAAGTTTCTGAGTGAGCTCGCATCGATGGTCAAAGATGGCTGTTTAGAACTGATCCCACAGCGTGCCAAGAGTGTCGCTGAGACAAGGAGATGGTTGAACGGTTGAATCTGATTCTTGAAAAAGAGCTTCAACACATTGATTATCAATGATTGTCATAAATTCGTTCAATAATCTTTGATTGGGTACGTTTTTCTCCTGTTTTTTAACTACCCATTTTATGGCATTTGATGGCTTAGTAATTTGGGGGTCGTGTGTGGTTTTGGGTCACTTTTGGGTCTCAGGACATCTTTGTACCTAGGTGTAGCCCACCTTTTAGACCCACGAGTATGAATCAAGATCATCAAGGTGATATCAAGGTGATATCCTTCCCATATGCTCCATGTATGTAATATTTACCTACATTTACCCCAAAAATGGCCCAAATGTAGGTACATATTCCATACATGGAGCATGTGGGCTTAGCATCAAGGGCTCAGCATCCTTCGAATATGTTGAATCCCAGTGAATCCGAAGAAACTTTGCAGCGAGGTCTTTTTGAAGACTTGGAGCTCAGCTGAGATACCAAGATCTTGGAGGTACCCTCGGACGCTTAGCTATGGAAACCATGGCCCATTTATAGATGATTTACGAATATGTATGATGATTTACCATGATTTACCTATGAAACATAGCGATTTTGCGCAGCTACGTGAAAAAGTACCGGAGGGTATAAGCTCTTCAGCTGGGAGTTTGTAAAAACCCCGCGCCTATTCGTTTAGTCATCCATGATCCCCCTTGAGCCATTTTTAGCTTTCACTCGAAAAATAACGATAAGTTGGTTATGTTAATGATCTGTGTCCAGACTCTTGAAATCCAAATTTCTTGATTTTTCCATCATTCTGCGGCTAATTAGTGCTTTTGGTCTCTTCCTTTCATTGTTTGTTGTCGTAATGGCGCAGATTCTGCACAAGGAAGGTGCCTGGTAGGTGGTCGCTACACTCCTTTTTTGATGATTGCAGCCGTTTCCAGAAAAAAAGGAACACACACACAGGATTCACGAACGATAACGAAAACGATAACTTTTGGCATCAAAAATTGTCCGTGTGAGACACTGCCTTGTTTTTCCTTTTGTTTTTTTCCTTTTCCTCTCCCTTTCCTCTCCCTTTCCTGTCCTTTTTCCTGTCTCTTCCTTTACTCTTCCTTTTCCTTCTCCTTTCCTTTTTCCTGTCCTTTTTCCTTTCCTTTTTCGTTTCCTTTTCCGTTCCTTTTCCTTTCGTTTTCCTTTCCTTTTCCTTTTGCTTTCTTTTTCCTTTCCCTTTCCTTTTCCTTTCCCTTTCCTTTCCTTTTCCTCTCCCTTTCCTATTCTTTCCTTTCCCTTCCTTTACTATTCCTTTTCCTTTCCCCTTTCCTCGCTCATGTGAATTCTTTGATCAAGGTGTGAAGCCAACGCTAAGAAAAACGATAATTGGAAACAAAAAGATAGCGTCTGGAAAACCCATTTGAAAGGGCTCGGGTTTTTTACACACCCCCAGCTGGTTTGGTCGATTTTGCCATCCCAAAAAATGCCATGATGGCTGGGATGATTTCTGACCCAGTATACCCAGTATGTGGGTAATGTCATACCCCTGGTGGTGCATGACGATGCAATCAATTCATGTCAATCGTTTGGTGCAATCTTGACTTGTGAGCCTGAGTTGTTCTGTTTCGCCGTTTGAGCTGCTCAAGCATAGCCTTGAAGAGCTCGACTACTCACCCCTCACCAACCAGACTTTCGCTGGGCAGTCCAACCACCAAGCCTTTTTATTTTAAATGCAGAAGCCAATTGGAAAGGCTCGAAAGAGCACAGGCACTGTCAGTCTCGATTCTACGGCTATTTTATTTTGTTTTGTTTGCAGGACTCGCATGTTCGGCATCCATAAGTACCTTGGTCTGACCCAGAAAAAGATTACATGCATCAGGCATTTACAGGCCCGAAAATCGAAACCTGAAACCATTGTAATCGCGTCACCATCCCGGCTGCCGTGTGCAGTGTGCAGGGTTCCCAGGATGTGGCTAAAGCTGAAGTAGCTGAAGCTGAGACTTCGGCCGCTCTTATTCTTCTTGTGACTACCTGACTACGAACATGATCAATAATCCGGCAAAACCATGTTGTGTTTGCCAGATATCCACTGATATGTTCAAATCCCTGTTTTGATATTTCTGGTACGACAAAGCACTTTAAATCACCTAAACCCTCCGTCCCAGCTCAAACCCCCCAACTCCCAAACTCAAAAATCCTGAAACCTAAAAGACCGTGCATGGCATCCTGAAAGGTGGAGTCTGGACAAATCCACAGGGTTTGTTGGTTCATGTTGGTTCATTGTTATCGACGCCCTCAAAAAGGTGATATTAAAAAACATCATATAATATATAATTTCTAACATAGAGGCGCATGTCATTTTTTTTTGGGGATTGTTCTTGAATATCATTATGTCGCATTATGTCATACGATTTAAATTGATTTAATTATTGTTATCTATGTTTCATATGCATACAGTATACTATACATTGAATGCATCCTTCACTTCCAACTGACGATGAGGTCGGCTATGTCGTTGCGGCTCTTGCAGAAGGCCGGCGATGCCGTTTGAGTCAAAGAGGTTGTTGTGTTGTCATCCGTTTCGGATCGTTTCGGAATAATAAATTTGCATGTTGTCTCATACACACCCACACACATAATCACACATATATATATAATTATATATATATATAGTATGTAAGTATATAATTACATGTGTATATGATTGTGTTTGCATATTTGATTAAGACTCTTCAAAACTCCTAAAGATATATGAAGATAAATACATGTACCAATACTTGAGAATCAGGTAAATTCACCCCCCGCTTTGCAGGCCACCAACGATGCATGGGGCCTTGGTCTCACAGAACCCTGCCAAGTTTCAAGACCCTGGTGATGAGTGGGGGTTTGAATGGTGAAATTCGGCTGAATCAGACTTTCAGATGTTCCCCGTGGTTTGCAAAGTGCCTTGACTTTGCAACAACTATTGGCAAGATCGTAACGGAGGTCTATAGATGATGCTCAGTGACTCACCCCGGTGAGTAAGAGGCTTATGACAACACTTCTAAGTAGGGTAAGTGGAGTTATAACATGTTATAACTGGGGTGAAATAACCCACTTCCTAATTGGGATGAGCCACCAAGTGCCCTTGGAGATCTATGTTCAAGTTTTGCCGAAGGCTTAGTCACCGGCACCGGCACCGACGATTTGGCGAGGCCCCAAAAGGCAAAGGCAAAACACGAGGGAAGCGCTCCTCAATGAGCCTGCAGCAATTCCATCAGCCCGGCTCTTAGGGCAAGTGTCAGATCGTCATGTTGTGATCAATTGCCAAATCCTGTGTTACATGCGGAGGAATAATCAAACATGTTGTTAGTTGCGGTATGTTGCGGTCAATTTTCAGTTATCACCATTCATGTTATTTTATGTTCCGGTGATGATGGTGATGATGTTGTGGCAAGTATATGGTACAATGATGGGGATGTTTCCATTTATTGCCGCGATGTTTCTGGGGTGAACTGCGACCCAACCGTGTTTTTTTCATTTTGTTTCTCCATTCTTTTCATGCCTAGAATTTGATAAAGAGAACATTTACAGAGTTTTTACGTTTTTTTTAGGCAAAACCATGGTCTCCTGAGTCTCCAAATGTCCCTTAAACCAAGCATTGCTCAGCTGCTAAGCCAGTGAGGCAGACTCAAGGAGTGGCTAGCAACCGACCCAGCGGATCCGCCTGGGGCA